ATATATTTTTTAAATATATTATTTAAATAATTACTGAAGACATGGTTAGCTCTCAGGGTTTTTTTGAACTTTGGCATTTCTGTGTTTTTCTTGTAATATTAGTGTTGATCCATTCTCATTATCTTGTTTACCATACTGTATCAAGCTTTTACCCTGCACAATGTTTCTATAAGCGTGGTTTAACTCACAGCACAACAAGTATGTGAAATGAAGCAATTACAGCAGAGTTCTGCATTTTCCTATCGCTAAGGGAGCCCCTTAGGGTGTAGAGAAAGCTGCTTGAAACTTTGCAGGGGTACAAATCTGAGCTGGTGATTTTTCAGATCAAACTTTTACTTACCAGTGCTCTGTTCATCATGGGAAATAGAAAGGAAAGGGGCCGGTAAAGCATATTTGAGCAGCCCTGGCACTTATAACTTATCTATTGATAATCTGTCAACAGTCTGTTTTCCATGAGTTGGAAACATATATTCTACAAACTGTGTGTTGTGGTCTCCATTTTTTCTCCCCACACTTCTCTCCCCTCTTCTGCAGGTCCACATGAAGGATGTTATGTCAGCACTGTGGGTCTCAGGGTTAGACTCTAGCTACTTGCGGGAACAGATGCTGAACGAACCGTTAGTACGAGAAATCGTGAAGGAATGCAGCAACATTCCACTCAGCCAGCCGCAGCAAGGGGAGGCTATGCTGGCCAGCTTCAAGCCCCGGGGCTACTCTGAGTGCATCGTGACTGTAGGCGGAGAAGAAAGAGTGTAAGTGTGGATGTGAGTTGTTTGAAAAGTGGTATAAGGGGGGAGATGATTCCTTATAAGCAAGGATCCATAGTATTTTTCAGTATCTAAGCATAATAGCAATTAATATTTTAAGTGTTTAAAAATTCATTACAGCAGTAAAACTAGTCATTGTTACTATAAGCAGAACGGTATAAGACACATTAACAGCTAATCAAATATTTATTTCCTTAGTTCACGGAAACCAACAGCAGCGATGCGATGTATGTGCCCGCTGTATGACCCTAACCGGCAGCTTTGGATTGAACTGGCCCCTTTAAGCATGCCAAGAATTAACCATGGAGTTCTCTCAGCAGGTACCATTCTGTGGTAACTTTTACTTAAAAACAGCGTCAAGTAATGTGTAATTCCAGGTTTGTACAGAATGACTCAGGACCTTCTTAGAGTAGCTCTAGCTTTCCAGGTTGTGATAAGGAAGAGTGTCTTCTGTCCGTCTTTATTCTTCCCAAATCTTTAACACATAGCTATTTTAAGACTTTAGTAGAGGAGCATTTTGCTTGATTACTGAACTGAGAGAAGAGCAGAATTCAGTGATGCTTACCACCAGTCAGCTGTGTGACCAATACCTGGAACAGAGTTCCTCTGAGCCACAATATGCCCTTCTTTGAAATTCATGCAGTTTGGAATTACAATATGGAACTATATTCAAAAGCGTTACGTAAAAGCAGGCATTTCATATGAGATGCTAGAAAATATTACTTACATTAACAATGGCTTAATGTTATTTTACTATAGAAAGTATGTTTACTTCACCTATGCAGGTTTGAAAACAGCTTCCCGTTATTCAAAGTTCTCACTCAAGGAAATGATGGAAAAGGGGGTACTTGCTGCCTTCCTCATCACCTTGAATCTGCCATTTGGGGTTCATCCCACAACTGTTACCTATTCCAGTTATTGTCAGCAGTCCTCCTGGAACCCTTCTTATTTTTTGGTCTCTGCTTGCCCACTAACATTACCTTAACATTTTTAAGCTATACATACCACGCCATACCATATAGAAATAGCTTAAGCTGTCCTGTGGTACAGGAATGGCGTCGTTCGTGGGTTCCAAGGTGATTGAAGTCATTGTCAGTAATAAACAGCTGGATGGAGTGGTGTAGTCAACAAAATGTGGGTCTGATTTCCCTGCTCAAGCTTCTCAGAATTAGCTTCCTCAAATTCGCTCCCATTATATGTACACATATTCATAATTTTCATGCATATGCACCCACCACAAAGGTTCCTTCATCACTAATTTTCAAGGATTTCCTAGAGGAGTTGGCATTTCAAAAACTTAAATAAACAATGAGGAGAGGAACTGTGTCCAGTTGTAGTGACTGAAGTGAAATGACTGAGGAGTTCCTGTCTGTCCAGCCTGCCCTGCATTTCTTTTCTTGCCTTTTTAAAAAACCGATTCACTTTTTTGTCATTCAGTATTTTTCCCTCTCTACCAGTTCAGAATAAGTTATATTCTTTGTCTACATTCTTTTGAAGGTTACCTTAGACACCATATCATATATTCTTTAGTTATCAAAGCCTAAAGCTAAGCAGTGTATTTATACTCTATTGTTCATGTTTACAGTGTTACAGTATTAAAATACATGATTTATAAATTATTTTTAAATATATACATGTTTATTAATCTATGTTTTATGTGTGTATCTATACATGGATGGCATTCGTTTAGATTTACCCACATATTTACCACCTCCTTTGCTTTTCCTTCCTTCTTAATCCTCAGACCTTCCACGTAAGATCATTTTCCTTCTCTCTGAAGTTCATCCTTTTGAAGTCCTTTCATGTGGGTCTCCTGGCAGCAAACTCTTAGATTTGTTTGTCTGAAAATGTCATTATGTCACCCTCATTCTTAAGGGATATTTTTGCTAGGTATAGAACTTTAGGTTGGTATCTGTTATTTTCCCATTGAGGATGACTTTTCAATGACTTCTGGCTTTCCTTGTTGATAAGTCATCAGTCTAAAGATCTGTTTTTTCTCTGAGCTGTATTCAAGTTTTTCTTTTTGTCTTTGTTTTTCTGCCATTTCATTACAATGTGCTTAGGTGTTCTTCTTATTTGAAATTTTGACGTATTTGGGGATTATGGGGCCTTTTGACTCTGTGGCTTGGCCTTTCATTAGATCTGGAAAATTCCTATTCATCATGTTTTCAAAGATTGCCTCTGCTCCAGTCTCCTCTCTCCCTCTTCTTTTGGAAATCAGATCAAATATGGCTGGGCCCTTTTGCTCTATTCTCTGACTTCTACCTTCTTCTTCTTTTGTTCTGTTTTCCATCTTTTTGCCTTTCCTTGTTGCCATTATGATCTCTTCTAATTTATCTTCCATTTAATGAATTCTCTTTAACTATGATGGATCTGCCATTAAATCCATTCACTTAATTTTTGTATCTGTTTTTTTCCTTTCTTTCTTCCTAGAAATTCTCTTTAAATCTTTTTCACATCAGCTGTGTCCCTTCTGCTGCCCCATTTCCCAGAGTTATCTTAAAATTTGTCTTTTATTTTTTAAACACAGTAAACATTATTGTATCATCTTTCAGAGTAGTCCAGTTTTTGAAATTTAAATTTGAAATCTTAGCAAAAAACTATTTCCTGTGGTCTGCTTGTGCTGGTTCTTCTAGTTCCTTTGTATGCCTCGGTGTCTTTGGCTGGGTGATCATTTTATTAAAAATCACTTATAAAAGTAATTTGCTACTTTAAAAATCTTAGAATGTTAGACTAAAGCTCAGATAAAGGTACTTGCTTCCACAAAAGTTTTCGATTTGTTTTTTCCAGTTGCCTGAAAATCCTACCAATTTGGAATTACTGTAAAACAAATTCAAAGTTTGAGATATCCTAAACAAGCCAAGAGATTTAAGTCTGGGCTCTAATTCTGGTTGGTCTTTGTTCTGGGAGTTAGAACTTTGGAGACGCTCTTCTGTCAGAAACCACACTTTGTATGGGCCTGGGGTTTAGATTTCTGTCTTTTTCATCCCCTCAAAGCCATTAAAAGAAAAATTCAACATTTCCCAGATTGGTGAATGCTCTCAGAGCAAAATGGCTTCCATTCATGGTAACCTCTCCAGGCCCTGCCTTTCCCCTCAGCTTTATTGTATTGTCTTGTTGGCATCTTCTAAGAAGATTATTTTATCTTAAAAATGTTTTACCCAGCAGTTTAGCTGTTTTGCACAAACATTGGCATGAATAACCTAATCCACCATTACTTCAAAAGAGGAAGTTCAACAATTACTCTTAGATCCTGTTTTGAATATAAAGTGCATCCAGGTGTCCAGATCTCAGTGTCCCTGGGGTCTTGAATGAACAGATGTAGGCTGTGGTCCAGAAGTTCTGGGAGAACCAGAGGCCGGGGATGAAATAGATGAGCTGAGGTGACCGAGAGTTGCGTAGTGGCCGAGTGGGTGGCGTCCCTCTTTCTTTTATGCTGTAGGGTAGAGGGAATCCACGCAGAGCTCGCGAGTAAAGTGAAATGGTCAAAATGACTCACAAACCTGGCTCTGTCACTGAGGGTGAGTGTGATAAAGATCCCAAGTCCATTGTTGTCAGAGAAGGTTTCTCCACACACTGCCTCTGCACGTGTGGCGTTTATATTCAACAGGAGATGCGTGTTGAAGACAGAAGTTTCCACTTTCTTGTCTGTCTTCTTTGATTTATTTATTTATTTATTACTTTTATTAAAGTATTATTGTTATACTCTCATGAAGGTTTCACATGAAAGAACAATGAGGTTACTACATTTACCCGTATTCTCAAGTCCCCACCCACACCCCAATGCAGTCACTGTCCATCAGTGTAGTAAGATGCCACAGATTCACTGTTTGCCTTCTCTGTGCTACGCAGTTTTCCCCGTGATCCCCCACACCATGTGTACTAAACATAATACCCCTCAATCCCCTTTTCCCTCCCTCTCCACCCGCCCTCCCACATCCCTCCCCTTCGGTAACCACCAGTCCCTTCTTGGAGTCTGTGAGTCTGCTGCTGTTTTGTTCCTTCAGTTTTGCTTCATTGTTATACTCCACATATGAGTGAAATCATTTGGCACTTGTCTTTATCCGCTTGGCTTATTTCACTGAGCATAATATCCTCCAGCTCCATCCATGTTGTTGCATATGGTAGGATTTGTTTCTTTCTTATGGCTGAATAGCATTCCATTGTGTATATGTACGTGTCTTTGATTTTTGCAGAAGGATTTTTGTTTGTGTTTGGGGGCCAAGATGAAAATAAGCAGACCCTGAGCTCAGGAGAAAAGTATGATCCAGATACAAATACATGGACTGCGTTACCACCCATGAATGAGGTAAAATACTGCTTTTTTAATTTGCTTGATATGTTTCTTTTTTCCCTTTAACACTTAATTTGCTTGTTTTGCGTTTGCGAAAAGAAGTGCCCTTGCCAAGCCCCACCTGATAGGCCAGTGCACGCCCTCCAGCTCTCCTCTCCGCGCCCACCTTTGCTCCATCTGACCTCGCGGTTTCTCAGACCTAGACGTGCCCTTGCTTCAGGACCTCTGCCAGATACCCAGTGGCTTTCTCCTTGCTGCCTTTTGTGTTTGTCCACAGAGCACCTTCTCTGTGAGGCCTCCCTCTCCTCCCCTGCTGTTTTTCTCTTCACTCCATGTAGTACCATCTCAAAGACAAGGTATTTTTTAATTGTTCGCACAGACTCTCTGGTGGCAGGGGATTCTGTGTGTTTGTGCAGCACTGTTTCTTTAGTGCGGGGATAGTGCTGGGCCCCCAGAGGGGACACTGAGGAAACATTTGTTGGCAAGTGGACGTGAAATACGTCAGGCCTCTGTCATTCCAGGCAGCCCTAGCACAAACCGCCTCTCCTGCTGTGGTGGTTCTTGCCGGAGAACCACTGACAGCCCATTGCCAAACACAGATAGTGGTACTGAAGTAGAAGGTAGTAGTGCTTATTCCTGCTGTGAGCTATTGTGAGTAAAAAGTAATGATTCCACCAGTGAATTTACTGTGTGAGTGGTTCCCTCGTTCTGAGAAATTTCTGGACCTGTGGCTCATCGTAGAGGAGGGAGCTGCTGGGGGGATATCAGAAATGTTTGTGAGAGGCGGTTTTGAGTGTGGCAGTTCCATGCTGGCACTCTGGAATATAGTTGATATATGTAATTTTTATCAAATGTGTAAATGTCAGCTTTCAATACAACAGTTGGTCTTCAGTATACAGAGATCTTTGATGTCTTTCCAGGCACGACATAACTTCGGGATTGTGGAAATAGATGGAATGCTGTACATTTTAGGGGGAGAGGATGGTGAAAAAGAACTGATTTCCATGGAGTGTTACGATATTTATTCCAAAACCTGGACAAAGCAACCTGATTTGACCATGGTTAGAAAGGTGAGACCTGTTATCTTGTGATTGCAGATTGGATTTAAAGTTAATGTTTCTTCATTTCCTACATATGCCTTTTAATACAATGGATAGTGTTAGAAGAATTTGTGTCCCAGAATCCTATCTCTGTTGGTAGCTCCTTCATTATCGTAGCCACACACCAAGGCTGGGGGTGGAGTGTGTGTGGTAGTTTGCTCTGGCGGTGGGCTCCATGCGGTGCTGCTGTGGCCAAGGCCTCTGCTTGCTGAAAGCTTGTGGGTGCGCTCACCCAGGAAGCAACCAGGTCTGCCAGACCTGTTTTCCTAATCATCATGTGGGACCAGAGAGACTTTAATCTGCAGGAAAAGACCTACCATTGCTTACCAAGCAGTGCGGAAACACATGGCTCAGGTTGGCTGTTCAGAGCATACGCGGTCCGTCCTGATTCCTAGTCCCTGGTGTGGGCAGGAAGTTCATCGCCTGGCCAAGCTCTGTCCAGCCCCTGCAGGTGCTGGGATGTACTCTGTGTCTTTTACTGTCTGCACTTTCAACCAAGTCATTTTGGACAGGCATTGAGTGACATCTTGCTCCATGGAATCTACATCTTGGCATCTTCAAATAGTGATGGAAGAAGAGAGAGACTAGAAAGCTTTAAAAGTTAGGGTTATTTTCTCACCTCACTTAGTGAGATAGTATTAGATGGAGTTAATCCTTCTCTGAGGATTAATAATAGGAGTATTATCTTGCTCTTGTCATTTTGAAATCCTGCATCATGATATTGGAAAGACCATAGTTTTGCTACTAGAAATCAAATCGTTTTCCAGATATTTTAGGATACTCTTTAGCCAAGTTAATATTTACTTATCTAACTCTAATAATAAATGTTGCCTCCCCCACTGTTGCCTTCTCCTTTCAGATTGGCTGCTATGCATCTATGAGAAAGAAAATCTATGCCATGGGCGGAGGATCGTATGGAAAACTGTTTGAATCTGTGGAGTGTTACGACCCAAGGACCCAGCAGTGGACTGCTATATGTCCACTAAAAGAGAGAAGGTGAAAGGACGTGGCCATGGGCTTTGTAGATTCCCCTTCACTTGGTGTTTGCTTCTTTCTTCCATGTGAACCTTTTATTTGACTTAGTATTTGGTTTCTATAAAATTAAACAAATAACCCATTTCTCAAAAAAAGGAAGACCTGTGTATTCATGAGGCACTGACTATTGCAGAGTTAGCGCAAGCATACAAGGAGTCAGGGACTTGGGTCATAGGTTGTAAGTTAACACCTAATACGCTCTGTGTGGCCTTCCAGATTTGGAGCGGTAGCCTGTGGCGTTGCCATGGAGCTGTATGTATTTGGGGGCGTCAGGAGTCGTGAGGACATCCAGGGGGGAGAGATGGTCACTTGCAAGTCTGAATTCTACCATGATGAGTTTAAAAGGTGAGTATGAATGTCTCACAGCTTCTGTGGCTTTTCCTTTATGCTTTCAAGCTCAGGTTTTAGCTTTGTTTTGTTTTCAAGGTACTTCACTGAACTATCGCATCTGTTTGGTAGGTATGTGTAACGCACACTTGATGTTTATTCAGTGACTTCAGAAGTTACTTAAAGGAAAACCATAAAAATGTGTTTCCAAAGCACAGATCAGACCTTGACACTTAGTTGCTTAGCAACTGTTCATTGGCTACTATGGCTTTTAGGAGAAGTTTAAACTCCTTAACCTAGTGCATATGGTCTTTTGTGATTTGACCTTTGTTCTTTCAGCTATTATTAACTGGGTCACACTGAGTGACATCTTCCCCCCAGACGTGGTATGATTATCTCAGCTCTGTTTTTGTACTGTTCTTTTTGCCTAAAATTTCCCTTCCCACTTTCATCCAGTTTTTAATTTGGCCTCTTCCAGAACTCTGCTTGATTATCATACCTAGACAAAGCCTTCTCATGTGATTCCCGTTCCCCAGTCTGTGACCCCGTCACACCGTGTGCATGCCTCTCGGGGTGTCACTGTTAACCCTGAGCACCGTCGGGGTGAGGTCCAGTTCGACCGACTTTGGATCCTAGTTTCAGCATCGTACCTTTTCTGTATTAGACACTTGATTGTGTGGATTGTTGATTCAGTGGATGAAATGTGGTGTCAGAGGTTTTTAAGCATCTGCCAGGCTGCCAGATAGGTCTTATAGAGCACACTGCCTCCTGTCAGCCTCCTCCCCTGCCCTCCTGGTAACCACTGAACAGTGTTTTTATTACTGTATTATGTTCAGATCCTTCCGGGAAACTGGCGTGCTGAAATTAATCTTGTTATAGTATTTCAGTCATGTTACCAGAAGGGGGTGCTGTAATATAATGTTTAATTTCATATGATTTTAGATTAGGGCAAACAATGAGCAGCTACCCAGATTTTAGAAAACCATGAAAGTGTTACCTAACTTTTCATGTATTTTAAATTTAGGATATTTGCATAGCTTCTTTTTTCTTCAATTGCAGAGGTAGACTATCTTAAGAATATTTATTATACATATGAGCAATTTAGAGAATGTTTCCTGTGGTATGGGTGGGGGACCAAATTTCAAAGACTTTTCTACATTTCTCATCCTTAATATATTACTAGGAGGGCTGCCTGTCCAAAGTATGAAGGCGCATATTAATTTCCTGCCCCAGTGAATCTCGAGACAGTCTGCCCAACTTCATTAGCAAGTTAACCATGGTCAGTGTGTGTTTGGTTTCTGATAAAATACTGATATAAGTCATTTCATAAGGACTGAATTACTGTTTAGACAGTGCGAGTTTAAGAGCTGTTAACTCCCCTGCTGGAGTTATCAGGGCCGCCTGTGGTCTCACCATCTCCAGTCCCTATTTTGATTTTATAGGACTTAAATCTGGCTGTCAAATTTCTCAGTCTGCCCTTGATATGCTATAAATTGTTAGAACCTTTATATTTCTATTAGGTTTTTTCATATTTATGCCTAATCGGCTTTAAATATAAGTGTATTACTTGCTTTCAGTTTACAATTGTTAAACATAAGGGTATTGCTCCTTCTTCGCTATTTATTTGCTATCCCAAATAAAATTCATGTATCATTAGTTTCCTTATTTCTAAGCTCTCCAAATGTTAGTTTGTCTGTAGAATGAAGAAAGCTTAATTTCTACTGTCAGTATAATAAATAAGTCTCTTATTTGGTTAAAGAACAAGAGATGTGTATCTAACACTAAGTGCCATGTACTAAATCACTTAACTCATTCAGTCTTCAAAACAGCCATCTGAGATAAAGATGCTCTTTTGATTCCTATTTTATGTATGAGAAAACCAAAACACAGAGAGGTTAAGTAATGAGTCCAAAGACACACAGGCGGCAAGTGGCAGAGCTGGAATTTGACCTTGGGCACTCTCGGCCCCAAAGTCTACCTTTGTAGCTACCCCACTATATTGCCTTACAAATACAGGCTTCCTCATAAATATATTTAGGAAGAAAATAATATACAAGAGTCATTTATTTCTTAAAAAAGCATATGTTTCCAAGTATGTTATAGTCACATACTGTGGAAACTGTTGCCAGATGAGCAATCTGTGTTATATTGGAGACCATTTATTGTTTTTAAGTAATCTCTTGTCTTTCCTGTCTTTGTTCCCTATTTTTAGGTTAAAACTTTCCTGGAAAAATGCCATTTCTTATTATTTTCTGGGTTTCTGACTAAAAACAAAACAAGGAAAGCAAAGAAATTGCCCTAAGTTATAGCAAGTCACAGTAACCCCTTACTCTATCCAGAGTGACAGTCTGTAGTTCTGCTCCTTGTGGCTCTTTACTTGAGCGGCACTGCCATCCTCCCAGATACCCAGACTCAGAAAGGTCGTCTTTGCGTCTCTCGTGCATCACATCTCTTCATTTGCCAAGTCTTGCCTTCTTTAAACTCTGTACTGTCTTCCAGCTACCCCACTCGGGTTCTCTGCCCCTGCCCTGCCGTGTCCGTGGTGTCCGCCACTCTGTGGGTGCCCTGCCGTGAGCCTCCTAACCGGTCTTCTCCAGTACACTTCACGTACTTGTTCTTCTGGACGGTTAATCTGACTTAGGTCGTTTCATTCTCCTGATGAAAATTCCTCATATTTCCCACTGCTTACCAAATAAAGATCATACATTTAGCTGCCTACTCGGGATCCTCCATTATCTGAGGTTAAGAAAAATTGTCAGTGTTTTCCAGTTTCTTCCTTTCACATGCCCTGTACTCCAGCTCAGGCCCTATAACCGTTCCGTGTCTTACCGCCTCTGTGTTTGCTTAGCCCTAGGTGCCCCCCACTTTCATTGGTATAAAGCAATCATGTTGACTGTTCTTTGAAGTCACCAGCCAGTTTTATCTTTGATCCCTAAGTGTATAATTGTGTAGACACACATGACAACTGACAGCATCCCCGCGCTGGTGTTCTGACCCATGGGCTGGGAGCCATTGTGGCGGCAGGGCTAGGGGAAGTCACCAGAACTTCTCTTCCCTACCGAAATAGAAAACCAGAAGCAAATCTGCATCCTTGAGAGTTTGTAGAAGTTGGTGCCACCATCAGAGACTTGAAAAGGCAAGAGCCGTGCCACCTATCATATCCCCACTTCATTCATGTGCAAGACACACAGCGTCAGATGAAGTTTGGAAGATGACCTTGCTTTTTTTCACAAACTTAATTAGGTGGTTATCACAGATCAATCCCATATGTAGTATCCTCGTGCAAACGTATCTTTATGCGACACAATCCCTGCCCTCGATATGCACCTGTTGACCTAATACTTTTTCTTCATACCAGTTTGCAAGGACCACCAGAAACAGTTTGCTTTTACCTGGCAGGACCACCTGAAGAGTCTCGCCTCAGGGCCATGTCACTTCTGTCATCTGCCATATATTAGTCCGTGGAGATGTTGACCATCTTGATGTCCCATTAAACGTCACTTGATCTACCCCATTGCCATTGTGCCGTTGGATCTGCCGGATGCAGCAGCGAGTACTGCAGATGCCTGTGTAAGACAGGCAAACAAGGTCAGGAGACGAACCACACTCCTGACAAATCTGTTTCAGGCACAGTCCAGCCAAGAGACCGAAACCACCAGTAATCTCAACAGGGAACCTTTACTGTACGTAGGCATTAACTAATCATCATTAGTGAGCAGTGGTCAACTGCCAGCGGGTGACAGAGGACTCTGATGACTGCAGAAACAGCCAACTTAGGAAGCACAGCTACTACCTTTAGGGCCGAGGGACACACCCTGAGAAGGAGCAGATGGGGAAGGGCCCCACTCCGCAAGGCTGGGATTCACCTCACTGCAAGGGGAGGCGCTGTGACCCGGGGCGCCAGGGTGCCGAGGACAGAGCTGGTGCATGGGAAGCCGGGAAGCTGCCTGCGGGTGGCGAGCACCGCGGGTCTCCTGCACACTGCCTGCCATGCGGTAGGAGGGAGAAAAAAGGCGCACTGACCCCAGGAAAGAAGCCTTTGCCCTCCCCAGCCTGGGGTGCCTCCGCTGCCCTCTGTTGACAAAGCCTACGACTGTGTTTATCTTTTCAAAGAGCCAGCTGTTAATTTTCTCCTTTGTTTGTCTTCCATTTCATTGATTTCTGCCTGTCTATATTATTTCCTTCCCATTAGTTACCTACGGTTTATTTTTCTCTTCCTTTCCTAGCTTCTTCAGGTAGAATTGTAGATTTTCTCATTTCTCTGCTAAAGCTTCTCTTCATTATAAGCACTTTTCCTCCCCTTACTAAGCATAGTTACCGTAGCTGTGTGCAGATTCCCACATGGCAGGTAATGGCAGTGTCTGAGAAAGTTGATGTCTGTTGGTTGTTCATTCCCTTGAGAATGGGTTCTCATTTTCTGGCTTTCGCTGAATAATTCCGTGTTGCATCCTAGACATTGTGAATGGTACAGTGTTGAGGCCTAAAGTGTCTCATATTGCTACAGAGTTGCTCTGCGAGTTTTAGCAGTGAGCTTGGCTGACTCCCATCGCAGGCTGTCTGTCATGTGTGGTAGATGGCAGCTCGAAGCTCAGGCCAATTCTTTTAAGCCTTATTTATATGCATTCATCGTTCCAGGGTTGGCCACAGATTTGAGAGGCACAAGTTCACATACATTTCGAGGTACCTCTTCATCTCTCACCTTTCTGAGACCCCCATACACTTTAGTGATCTTAGTTGTCCCAAGATGCTCTACCCTGATTCCAGTGGCCAGAAAGATGGCAGGATCTTCTCTAGGGGCCTCAGGTACCTAGAGCCGCCCGCCGGCCTCAGCGCCTTTGGACAAAGCTACCAGGGAACCAGAGACTCACTCCATGGGGGCTGCTTGTTCAGCTTTTACGTTCTCTCCCCAAGCTGCCTGCCTTTGCTCCAGGGCCCTCAGGCAGCTGTCTTTTGCATTTTGTCCAGTTTGTAACTGCCTTGCTCCCCACTGGAAGCAGAAACCTCATGGAAACTGCCTCCTTTCTCCTCTTGAGCTGCCTGCCCCTCCCGGTAGCTCGCTGCCCTCTCCTTCCCGCCTTCTCTCCCTGCCTGTGTTTCCCCTCCAGCTCTGCCCTCTCTGCAACTCATGGCTACGATCCATGAGAAATGTTAAAGTTTCCTTCATAGGGGGCATTATTAATTCTGAGTTATCAGAGGATACATCACTGTAGCCTCCAAGTCCTGATAAGCCCATGTTTGAAAACATTGTAATGAAAGGCACAATATTGCCTTGTGCATTTACGAAAATGAGTCTTAATGTTGCCCACTAGCTGTGTGCTAGATATGATGTGCTCTACGAGGACATCATTTCCTCCTCACTTCTCACTGGAGGTTGGTAGTGGTGTCCTGTATCCACACTTACAGACAAGGAAACGGACTGGGTTAGTTAAATTGTCCAAGGTCACCGAGGTGATAAATGGTAGAGAAAGAAACACAAAACCGCATGCCTTTTATACCTGTTTTATAAGCAGCAACTAAACACGTGATGTGATTAATTCTTTATGTTAGTTTTATTTAATTTGAAGCTTCAGCATTACATAAAATAGAACCTAGAATCTTTTTTCTGAAACTCAGGAACTCTGAGTCATTGATCAGCTTTGAACTAGATTTTGGCAGATCATCTACACAGACCAGTTTCTTCAACTTTGTTCAACTATCCCAGGGAGGAATTATGTTAAATTCTCAACTCTACAAAATTATTCCGAAATGTCATGATACTCTGATGGGCTTTTCTAGTAGATAATCTAGTCACACGTGCTTTAACTAAGAAAGTGCCAGTCACCCTTAGGGGCATACATGGTCCCATTAGTGGATTTGCCCAGAAGAGCTGTGCCTCTCCCCTCCGGGGAGGTCCTGGCATGCAGCCCGGCCACAGACAAGCTGTTGGGACACTTGGCAGTTTTGTTGGGCTGAGAACCTGGGAGAATTCACATTTCGAGTTTTAACTGTTTATGTTGAGCCTTCAGACTGTGAATAAGCCAGTTACTACATTTGACATTTTTCAAGCTTTTTCTCTCAAAGGCTGGTTGGGTCCCCATTTTCACTTCTAAGCGAGAGTTCTTAGGTTTTTTTCCTTTTTCTATTTATTAGAGTCATTTTGGAGGCAGGGACCAAACCCACCGTATTCCCAGTCCCAGCAAACTCATGGATGCCAGTCAGCATTCGGATGTCAGATGAAGCAGATGGTACAGGAGGTATTTAGAAATATAGCAGCTTTTTACGAGCTTTGCTTCTGAGTTGTTAGATGGTCTCGGACAACTCATTTTGCTTCCCTGTTCCATGGAATTCAACATATGGAAGCTACTATAGAGCAGTCTGAGAAGAGCGTTCATTGAAATAAAAGTGCTGTTCTTAGTTAAATAATTTTACATTTGTATTGAACATTGAGGTGCTCTACCCTAAGCCACTGGCTTCGTGGGCGTTTCACAGCACTGAGTTCCGAGTATCGGAGCAGCGCCCACCCGCCCGTGCGCTCCAACACCGAGAGCAGGCGCGAGGTCTGACGGCTCTGCTCTGACCCAGCTATGCCTTCAGCTGCTAAAGGGAAGTCCTTTGGTCAAACTGCCTTGAGTGAACATTTGTACATAGCAGAATCTACTTGTTTGTTTTTTTAAGCAAAAACATCTTTATTTTGGAATAATTTTAGACTTAAAAGTGACAAAAATAGAGTTTGCATAAGCCACTCACCCAGTAAGCTTCTCCTACTTTTAACATCTTACATGACCATAATGTAGATATCAAAACCAGGATATTTACATTGGTACATTATTGCTAAGTAAACTACAGACCTTATTCGAATTTCACCCTTTCTCCACTGATAACTTTCTTCCCTCTGCTCCAGGATCCAGTCCAGGATCTGACACCGTAGCCAGTGTTGTTTCTTTAGTCTCCTTGAATCTGACAGGTCCTCGGCCCTTCCCTGTCCTTCATGCCCTGAATACTCTTGAAGACTATTGGTCAGTGTTTTTATAGGCTGTCTCTTAATTTGGGTCTCTGGTGATTTCTCACGGCTAGGCTGGGATTCTGCATTTGGGCAGGAACAGCGCAGAAGGGGTGCCATGGCCCTCTGCCCCACGCCGGGGAGGACGCAGTGCTGCTGTGTCTCATTCCCACAGTGCTGACCTTGATTATCTGTGGGGTGTTCCCACTGTAAAGTTACTGTTTTCCCTTTGTAATTAATAAGGGTTTTAGAAGAGATAATTTGAGAATAAGCAAATAGACTGTTTCTCCTCAGACTCACCACTAATTCAGCACCATCAGTGGAGTAGCCTACAGGAGTTACCACTGTGGTGTTTACTTAATAGTGGTGATTTTCTATTTCCCTCATTCCTTCCACATTTGCTAACTGGAATTCTGTGAACAAGACCTGTCCCTTTTCCCTATTTTTTAATGTATTCAACTATTTATTTATAGTTGTATGGACGCACGGATGTTTTCTGTTAAAATCCAATACTGCCATCATTTATGTTTTTGCTCACATTGTTCCAGCTCTAACCACAGGAGCCACTCCATGCCCGCTCCAGTGTCCTTTGGACACACCCACTCTCCTTTCTTAAGCACTTCCTGCCTGCCAGCACAAGATGCTCCCAGCTCACCTCACATTTTCTGTCTCAGCTGTGGAATCAACCACTTCTTCATGGAGCCCTGCATCCTTTTAGTGGTTATTAAATTGATTTTCAGCAAGTGCCAGGGCAATTGAGCAGGGAAAGAAATGTCCTTTCAGCAAATGATGCCCAAACAAATAGATCTCTCTGGGAGCAAAATATGACCTTTGACTCTTACCTCATACCATGCACAATTAACTGGAAATGTAAGACTAAACATAAAAGCTGAAACTATGAAATTTCCAGAAAAAAACATAGTAGGAAAACCTTTGCAAACTTGGAGTAGGCAAAAGGACACAGAAAGCATGAGCTATAAAAGAAAAACAGAATAAATTGGAATTCATCAAAATAAAAAATTTCTGTTCTTTAAAAGGCTCCATTAAGGAAATGAAAAAAATCTGCACTCTGGGAAAAATACGTGTGATACGTGTATCTAACCAAGGACTTGGGTCCACAAAATATAAAGAATTCTTACAATTCAGAAAGAAGACAGAAAACCCAATTTGAAAAATTGGCCAATCATTGAGCAGGCATTTTGTAAAAGAAGACATATAAACTGGCCATAAGCATATGCAGAGATGCTCAACATCATTAGTCTTCCTGGAAGTGCACACCACTGGTGTGAATAAAATGAAAAAGAATAACATCACCACGAGCTAGCAACAGTGCGACCCCGCAGAGTTCTCCTAGGCTGCTCACGGGAGCAGGGAGTGGGCACAGTACCCTGGGAAACAGCGCGGCCCTTCCTTACCCAGTGAAATACACCTCGAACCACATAACCAAGAGATTCCACGACCTAAGTCCACAAGAAACGTTTACACTCGAAGGTCCAAAGTAGTTTCATGCAGGGAACCACACCCTGGAAGCTGCCCAGATGAACATGAGCAGGGGAATGGACAGGCTCTGGACAACTGTGCATGGGGCACTGCCTCAGATAAGCAGAAGCGACTGTCGAGGCAAACAACAGCACGCGTGAGTCTCAGAAACACTGAGCTGGGCCACAGATGCAGATGGGAAAGTGCACACTTCATGATTCGGTACATGTGGCAGTCTCTGTAGTGACAGGAAGGAGACCAGTGGCTACCCAGCAGTAAGGGGCGTAGTGCTGTTCGTGGCCCACCACACTGTGTCGTCTCCGGAAGTCCGCCTGCACGAGGTGGCCGTCCTTGTGAGTTCCTGACTGCGTCCATCTGTTCATTTTCAGGTGGATCTATCTTAATGACCAGAACTTATGCATCCCCGCCAGTTCCTCCTTCGTCTATGGAGCTGTACCCATAGGAGCCAGTATATATGTTATCGGAGATCTTGACACAGGTAAACGCGGTCTGGGAATTTTGTGGGCACTGGTTTCTAGCGATTCTGAGGTGTGGCGTGTCACCTTTGCTTTTTCTCATGGTTCAGGTACCAGTTATGACTACGTGCGGGAGTTTAAAAGAAGCACAGGAACCTGGCACCACACGAAACCTCTCCTGCCATCTGACCTTCGCCGCACTGGGTGTGCAGCCTTACGTATTGCAAATTGCAAGCTTTTCCGCCTGCAGCTTCAGCAGGGCTTGTTCCGAATCCGCGTTCACTCACCTTGAACAGGGAGCAGAGCAGAGGCGGAGGCGAGCGCACCATGCCACGGCCTCGTGGGAGGGGAGCAGAGACGGCAGCGGAACCTTGCTCTGCGCGCCGGGCTTGGTGGGGTAACTGGAGGTTTCGCAATGCTTCGAAGCTTGAGCTTTGGCTCTCATTTGGGAGAAGGTGGAACCGGGGGAATCCATTCCTCCAGTTAGATGTGTCTGTAGACAGCGGAGGCTAGAAAAAAAAAAGTCAAAAGGAAAAGGGAAGTGGGAATCGGTATAATGTAAAATATTGAAGATATATGCTGAGGTGCGTTTTCCCCGAAGGGAACCCCTGTCTGACTGACTACCTGTCTGCGAGTACCTGGCTTTGGTAAACAAACAAAAATCCATATATGCAAATCAACATATCCAAACATACCAAGATTGCTTTCCTCCTGCACTTGGAAGGAAACATTATGCCTAAGCCTGCCCAACAAATTAAAGTTTGTGCCTAAAATGTTAGATTGGACTGAATGCCAGTTAGTTTCCATTTTACTACTAGTACTCTGTCCTAAGAATCTTTTTTTCAACTGTATTGTGGTGAATTAACACTAAGATAAAATTTCTCTTTTATGACATTCTATCTTAGTAATCTAAAGATGATTTGAAAAATGAATGAGTCAGGTTGCAGCCCTGTTGTGAATTCAAGGAGGTGGTCACGTCCCTGCCGATGCAGAAGCCTCCTGCCGGCGCTTGCGACGCTTCTGGGGTCGGACCTTGGAGTTGTATAGGCGCTCAGCCAGTGCCATTTTTCCTTTAGAATTCAGAACCATTTTATAAATCTGAGGGTATTAATGAGTAGGTGATTTTATAAAAGAAAGACCTAAGTCAGACAGACAATAAAGGTCTGAAAAAACCGTCCAGACAAAATTTATAGGGATCAAAAACTTAAATCGGTCTGAAAGCACGCCAAGTCTTGTTTACTCCTGTTCTAGGATTTGAAAACTTGTCTTAGAAAGCGAATCTGTATTAAGAATCTAGTCTTTGTAGCAGAACTTTCTTAATGCTATTCACTAGTAAGTTTTAGAACAAATTATAAGTAAAGTTTGGCTGGTAGAATAAACTACCTCAACTTAATTTCCTTCTGTTCATAGTAGAGCAAATTAATCTCTCCTTTCCTCCTCTCCTGTCCCGCACTCCCACTGACCCACCCGCCCCTTCCCTCTGTCCCTAGTACCCTTTATCTCGGAAGATATTTTGTTTTCCACTCAAATTAGACCACCTTAGTGGGAAATCAGGGACTTCAAAGTGCTTAATCACTGCATAATTTGAATTTTATGCAATATCAGATTTTTAATCAATTTAATATAGAATGCTTCATTTTTAATTGTTTTCTACAGCTTTTTTTTCCTCTTAGTTATATGGCTATAAGAAGCAGCACTTTGTCTTAATGATTAATCAATGTGTAAATGTACCCTTTGGTTATAAATTTGTGAATAGGGATTTCTTCTAGAAACTTCCTATGTGGAATGTTTTTATGCTATGAACATGCCTATGAAACATCATTTAAGTTTTCCCACCCACAAACAGAAGAAGGGGTGACCTAGCTGTACTATTTTTCCTTACACCTGCTGGAAGTCAGTGCAGTGCTCTAAAAGCTGCTGCGCAGAGCCTTGGCTGAGGGTCCTAAGGATGCTGTGTGCTGCACATTAGCTCTCCATTTTGCCGTAAGAGGCTGCTAGAAGGAAGTAACGGCGTTTCCTCTTCTCCCTCAGAGGGTGTGGGCCAGCTGCGCCCCCCACACACCTATCACAATCAAATACGCTCTGTAAGCCAGAGCCGGCCCTGCTTCGTATTGTGGGCCAGTCCACGCTGTCTGCAAACTTCCCCAGTGGCACTCGGGGTGTCTTTTAATCAAAACAAGCTACATGGCTGCTGCAAAGAAAGAAAACTTTTTCCAATTAGATACTCCTCTTAGAGGAGACACATTGCTAAAAAAAAAAAAAGGTGAATTTTCTTTGTTAAAATATCCTGCCCAGCACAGAACTGTGGAGTTCAGAAGCTGCAGCTGAGGTACAGCAGAGTGGTGACCAAATTCCTGTAAAAGCCATGACAGTCAGCAATTCTCTTTTTTTAATTTCTGAAGTCTAAGATTCTTCCCGGCCCACACCAGGCCTCTCCAAGGAGACAATTCGTTGTTTAGGAGTGAATGGGTCCCAGTTGCAATTATTACCAGTGCTTGCATGAGTCGGTCATTCATTTTATATAGTTCTCTCTCTCTCTTTTTTTTAAAATCCAGTTCGTTGACACTGTAGCCACAGAAATTAGGTAATATTTTTTATTTACAATAAATTTGCCACATAATATGGGATGCAATGACCAACGAAAGCTGCTAAGTGCCAAACTGTTATTTTCCTATATATAAATATAAAAAAATTAGGTTGAAGTATAGGGATATATTTAATTTTCATATGTTTCAAAATTAATCATGACCTTTTTTGTAAATTATAGTTATTTCATTTTTGTGAAATAAATTTTAATCCATTTCATGCAGGTTTGTGTTTTAACATTCCGCTTATGCCTTGGAAACATCTTTTTTGTGATAAATTTTTGATACTTCTTTTTCCATAAGGCACTTTTTACCAGGTGCATGTTGGAATTGATGGTTGAGGATAGATCTTAAAATTTTAAATACAATATCTTTGGGGGAAGTGCAATTTATTTTCATTATCCCACTAACAGAAGGCAAGGTGACTCAGGTTAGAGTAAGTGAATACTTACAGGATCTCTCCGAGGCTATGGTCTAAAGTTTGTTTGTTTGTTTGTTTAACACATCCAAATACAGATTTTTCAAAGATTTAAGTCTTTAATTTAAAATGAAGTGTTTGGGGGTTCTTTGTGGTCGTGCTTATATCCTGTGAAAGGAAGAAATGTGAGGGAAGGGATAGGGGAGAAAGCGTGTGTGCGTATGTGTGTGTGTGAGAGAGAGAGAGATGTGACTTGGTGAGCCTGTTTGTATATGTTTGCTTTTTGAATTGTAATTCCAAACTATATATATTACTGTGCCCTGGTGCTTCAGATAAATTCTTGAGCCTTTGGCCCTTCAGCTTATACTACTGTGTCAAACTCATGTTGAGTGTGAATACTGATATACTTGTAGTTTGTAGTAAGTTTTACTTTGTGTTTGCATTTTTTTATTAAGGTATTATTGATATACACTCTTATGAAGGTCTCACATGAAAAAACAATGTGGTTACTACATTCACCCATGTTATCATGTCCTCCCCATGCCCCATGGCAGTCACTGCCCATCAGTGTAGTAAGATGCCACAGAGTCACTATTTGCCTTCTCTGTGCTACACTGTCTTCCCCATGATTCCCCCCACACCATGTGTACCAGTGTTTACATTTCATGGATCAAAAACAGTGCTTACCAACTAGTTGTTGGTGTGCTGCAGAGATTTGGCCTAAGAAATTTCTAAATTCATTGTTTACTTCATTACTTAATTGCTGTGAAGAGTTGCTAGCTAACGGTGGGCATTTTTGAAGCTGCAGCAATGGAAACCAGCCACGCAGGGGATGTTGGGAGGTGTATGGGTGCAGAACGTGCTCTGTGACACTGGGGTTGCCTGTGCTGCACGGATACTTTGGAAGTGCCGTTTTTTACAATTTACAGCTGGGCGTCAGCTCCCTAGGCAATGTGCCGGAAGTGCATCCTTTACATTGACATGGTGAAGTCAGAGCTGCCTCTGCTGTGGCCCCTCAGTCGCTCATGGTAGGAAGTTAGGTTTCTAGGGAAATCTGTCGTGGCCTCAGTACATTCCTACCGCAGTGTACCGAACCAAGGATCCCAGAGAGTTTTCCAAAGAGCCGTGAAATTCTGGCAGTATTACCTTCCAGAATGTCGGCTCTCCTGATTTAAAAGGAGGCCTCCTGCAGTCAGATGAAGACATTGCATGATCTGAGGGAACAAGTGAAGTGGCACTTGCCTGTACAAACCTAATAGGTGCTGCCCCCCACCCCTTTGAAAGCATGGGTGGAAGGAAAGGGCGAAGCCGCCTCTGAGCCTTGGGGGTGAGAAAAGAGCCAATCCGTGCAGGAAGGCATGCCCCAGGTTTAATCCACAGGTGTTTATTGAGCACCTACTAAGATTTCTGCTTGGATTTGTGGGAGCTGAACAGTGAGACAGACATTATGCTCCCCCTCCACCTAGATTGTAAGCTCCTGTGGGCAAGGACCCTCATTCCTCTGCTAACCGCAGTGCTGGGCACACCGCAGGTAGTCACCAAATGTTTGGCCCATGACTATAGTATGCTGGTGATCAGCATGATGCTCTTTTGGGACTGAAAAGTACTGTCTGAGAGGGACTTATCTTTCTGGATTTTAAAGGAGAAATGTTGAACACAGGTTGGCCTCCTAATACAGAGTGGGAAACTAGGAAAGAATAAAAAATACAAGGTGCCTGGCATTAATGATGCACAAGTCTGTGGTCTCCATAGGTTCTGTGGGATTTTTGAGACCCTCTGCTCAGCACACCTAATAACGTTTAGCATATTTAATGTTGGTTTACATGGGGCTCAAATCTTTTCCCAAACGTATGCTTCAGTGCCTGCCCCTCTGATGGTCAGCAATCTCTGGGACAGAGAGCAGTTTCTGAGGCCGAGCAGATGCGTATTCATTCCCACTCGGACGTGAGGAGAAGCCCAAAGCAGGATCCAGGCCTTCGGATTTTCATTTCACTGGCCTGTTAAACTATCACTTACATTTCTAGACATACAAATATTTTTAATCATGTAATAATCATTGTGGTGTCATGTAAACCCCCAAACATACCCTTTGCAGTTGCACAATCATAAGCTGAAAGAGTTTTGGTTTTCTTGGTCAGTTAGCTATAGGAAGTTTAAGAATTTACTAAGGTCCTAAGAACACAAAGTAAGTGTGTTTAAAAGAGAGGCTGTGTTTACTTTTAAAGAGCTAAGGCTTCATTCATACTTTCTTTTCCAACCACATGAAATCAGTAAGGGGAAAAATTATGTCTCAGGATGTTGAGGAAAGTATTTTGCTAGCTTTCTAATAATCCCTGAAGTATTCTTTGTACTGGTTCAGAAGTTACAGAAATTCATGGTGTTCTAGAAGAATATGAACTCAGGTTTCGAGTGTGTCCTGCCTACTGGCACTGAAGTCTCAATAGTATTGAACTATGGACTTTTTCTACTTTTTTTTTTTTTTTTGGCAAGCCAGCTGATAAAAATTCAAAACTGTTGTATTTTTCAGAAGTAATTCTATTATGATTTTGGTTTTGAACACACCTCAGCTTTGTCTCATTGCAGTAGTTCCACTGATGTGACAAACAAGGAGGTCAGTTATTTCTCTGAATTTTTTGGTTAATACTTAAAGTTTAGGAGAGTTTGCTCTTTTTCACTTCTATCGTGGAAGTTCTCTATGTGGCTGGATTTTTAAACTCCTTCCCTTTCTCATAAAATGAAATATCTCCTAAGTAAAACAGTGTTGCCTAGCGATCTAGTGAGATATGTCTGTTGCCCTCTCTCTTGTTCTTATTTTGAGATTAAAAACTAATATTTTTAAATTTCTCCTCAACTGAAATTTGCGCTAATTATTGTTTTTCATATCAATGTCCTCATAGATATCAAAATCCCAACAGTTATTTTTGAATCGCTGTGGTTTCAAGAAGAGAAGGCCCTAGTAGGAAGAGGATGACAGCCACAGAGTCTGGGGACACCATATAAGATGATGTGGGCAAGGCCGGCCATTTAATGATCCATGTAAAGAAATGGCCCCTTCAAATAGTTCAGATACCAAGGAGATGTAAGTTCATCTTTCTTTCTGGTTAGTGAGTTATATTTATTAGAACTTCATTTTTATCATTTCAGTACAAACTGTAGGTTTTTAAAGTGCCTTATTTTTTATTGTTCTTACTCATCAGTTACAAACAAGGTGTATATACCTTAGAACCTTGGGCTAAATTTTGTCATGTTAAGCCAGTGAACTTGGTTTAAATATGACTCTATGTAGCTGCTTTTTCATGTTTCCTGTTTAATTGGATGAGAATTACATGCACTTATTCCCTTGTTCTTTGTGTTTGTAGGATAAACTCTGTTCTCAGCTACCTCATTTGTAGTGTTGTGCTTGATCCCTTGCCAGTTTAGAAGAATTCAACACTTTCTGTCCTTTAACAAAAGCCTAGAAGCAATCAGTAGGCGGCCTTGAGGAATACAATTCTCTAAAGCGTATTTTCCATTTTACTATTTTTTTTAATAGGCACTTTTAATCAGGAGGAACAATGATTCTCCTAGAGCTGCTGCAAAGTGATTACTTGAAACTCAACTTGAACTTTAAAGAGTCTTTAAAAGACTGTTTTTATAACGTAGAAAAGTAGTATATTTAAAACACTACTGCTGTGTAAAATAGAGGGCTTAATTTCCATCCTTGTTGGGATCAGACAGGAAAATTTGTGATTTGGCCCAGGGTTTGGATAGATGCTTGGGCTAGTAGTTTTCATTTTCTAAATAAGGTGCTATAGTGAGCAGTTGAAGGACCAATTAAGTGTATTTTCATGAATATCTTTTCCCAAGAATCACTCATTTTGATGAAAATACAGGCCCATTACTAGATTCCTCTTCTTTTTTAGCTCTGATTGCCTGGGTTTTAAAGTACAACTCTGAAAGCGTTTCCTAAGGGCAGGGTTGAAGTTGAGCAAACAACACAGAATTGCATTTTGCTTAAAGTCATGATTGGTCTGATTTGTTCCCTGTGTCAGAGTGTCATCCCCAACTTCTCCTGCAGTGCCTTCTCTCCGCGGCACATGCTGGGCTCTGCCCTCCCCGGCGTCGGTCAGCTTACCTGCTTGGTAAGGTAGGGGGGCTGTGAGGCCCACCAGTCCTGGTAGATAGACCTTCCTCCCCAGAAGAGATTTCTTATGGGAATTAGCCACATTCCCAGTGCCCAGAGAGTTCTGCCCTTTCCTTGAGTCCTAGCATCCTAGGAATAACTGACATACCAGGTAAAATCTAAACCTTACTGATGCGTGTGCATTAGTAGGATTTAATTTTACACTTGTGCTTTCTGAAGTAGTGGGCCTGTTCCTGCCAGTAGCATGGCAAAACTTCTCCCCAGAGGACCGTGTGTCAGCAGGCAGCAGACATTTCCTTACATGGTTTCCAAGAGAACCAAGACTTACCCCGCTAATGCCCCAAACCTTCTTAGTTTAATTATTTTGAGGAAAACATATGTATACGTTTTAGGGACTTTCCTGAGCGAAGCTGGTGGCCTTGAGCTGCGTCAGCCTCGGCCCAAGTGCGGGTGTTTTGATGACTCCCCACTAGCTGCGTGTGAAATCAGGTTGCCCTTAGCCCTGGTGCCCGCGTCGTATCTGCCAGAGCAGGATGACAGGGCATTTACCTCGTTGGCTGCTGCGTTCAGTGAGGCAGTGGAGGTGGGCGCCATGCGCACCTGGAGGTGGTGGCGACTGGTCGGCTGCCCTGGCTGCAGAACTCTGCTGTAGAGCTTGCCTCGTGCCAGTGCCCATGCCACGTGGCATACAAGTAAAGGTATATTCATGTTGATAAAATGACTGACCTTCTGGCCATGTATCACCACCCTTCTACTACTTCTCCAAAATTGAAACCCAAAATTGAACTCCAAAAAGAAGATTCTAGATAGCTGAAACCTCCCAAAATAGGTGTTTTGAGTTGCTGTGAATAACCCTCATTTTGAAATTTGCCTAATGAAGTCCTCTAATAATATTTAAAACTCTTTATAACAAAGTTGAGTTTTTCTTTTTTCCCTAAAATACCGGAAGTCATAGGCTCTCCTAGACAAGTAAACTGGATATTTTCTAGATCTCTGGTAGAGATCAGTAGGTCTAAATTATGCCTTCTTAACTTGGATGCTATGTGAAACTTAAAAACAAGCAAACAAATTTGTGTTACAAGTAGTGTGTGTGTGTGTGTGTGTGTGTGTGTGTGTGTGTGTGAACTTTAGCACCTTCAAATAAAGAAATTATACAGTAAGTGAGCTACTTATCCATGTAACATCCCTTTTCCAGTTCAGGTTATAGGACTGGGTGATTTAGGATTTAGTGACATGGGACATGCCCAGCTTATCTTGATTTCAATAAGACATTTAATAAAGTCATTATTGATATCTCTGTGAATGTGAAAAGGAAGTAGAAATAAGGTTGAAAGGGTTGAGAAATAGGTTGAGTGGCCGTCCCTGGACAGGGCTGTAAAAATGGATCCTTGTCAGCTGGGACCAAGGTACTTAACAGAGTCCATTTTTATCATTTTTATTAGTAACTTGTGTAAAAGTCTTGAAGCAGAGAGAAGTGCAGGGAGGAAGTCAGTGCTAGGTGCTGGGATCTGCAGTGCTCTCTGCAGCCAAATAAAATAATGGCTAAATGTTGAAGTCTAGGCCTAGGTTCAGAAGATAGTTCCTAAATGAAAGAGAAAGAAGAAAAAGCAGGGTAGGCGTGGGGGCTTTTTGAACAGAAGCCAGCTGTTGAGAAAAAATAACTGTTTCTCTCCGTCTGCCGCTGGGACTAGAAAAGGAAGTCAGTTCTGCTGTTTGCATCCATGCACTGCACTGGATGGGCCGCTGGGCTGCTTAGTGCATTCAGTGGCCCGGGTGGGTGCCAGGCACCCCAGTTTAAGACGCCTGAGCAAGCCTGGAGGCCACCCTGAGGATGACAGCCAGGGTGGTGGGTGCACCGCAAGCTATAACAACAACTTTTGGTGGCCAGAGGCCCTGGCTTGCAGGGTGTTTTCAGAAGAGCCATGCGCAGGGTGCAGAGTGCCCGGCTTGGGCCAGCAGGCAGAAACCAGGCCCCGAGCTCTGGTCAGTTTCTGAACTTTGGAATAGAACTGCCTCCTGAGAGGGGGGCCTTCTGTGGCACTGAGCGCTCATCCCTGGACAGCCTCCCAAGGACTGGCAGCGTCTGGCAGGTCTGGCAGAGTCAGGAGAGGGATCCTGCGTGGTGGCGGCTGTCTGTCACGATCTTCGGAGCTCCTTCCCAGCATGAGATTCTCTGAACAGTTCAGTGAAAAAGGAAAAAATTTGTGTGCACTTTAACTTTTACACTGTTCGTGAGAAGAGGCCGTGTCCTTCGAACCTGTACTCTCCCCTCGTTCTTTGCTCCCGTCTCTTGCTCTCTGCCCACCACCAGTTCATGGCCTCCTGACTGCGGCCAATGGCCTGCAGCTGCAGCTGCCTTCAGCGGAACTTCCAGAAGTAGAGCTATTCTAGAGATATCCCTAAAAACCATACTGTCACTAGAATAGGGCTTCTTACTTTTTGTATGCTTTTTGTTTTAAATCTCTTAGAACCTCTCCAGATTGAAGAAAGCTGATAAGTAAGAACTGTATTCTTTCCAGCAGGGCCTGGGATGCCGTGGGGGCAGGTCTTGCACAGGGAAAGAGAGGTGGGCCGCCTCTTCGAGGCCCTTCCAGCTCTAGGAATCCGTCTCCGCACTCATGGATTGCTTTGTCATCCTTTGAGAAGGATTTCTCGAGGTTTCGCCTTCCCCTCTTCTGAGGAAGCACCCTGCACTCCCAGTCCAGTGGGAGAGCGAGGGCACCACCCACTCGGGGTCTCTTTCCGGCCCTCCCGCCTTGAGCAGGATCTGCCCCCAAAGAGAGGCAACGGGCCTAGGCTAGGACGGCACCTGGGCCTCGGGACGGAGCTGTCGGTGGGGCCTGACTCGGGTGTGTTTCCCAAGGCATCATCGCGCGTTACTTCTGTTTGGGCCAGCGTTGGGTTTCCTCCCGGAGACCCGTTGGGGCCACGCAAAGGCACTGGCTGGGGAGCCTCGGAGAGTACAGGCCCCTCCCAAGTCAGCAGTTCTTCTCTCCGGCCAGTTTAGGGACTCCAGGCAAGGTGGCAAGAGCTCGTTTTGGGCGTGTTGTTGAGACTGCACTGACGCAGCCTGGCAATTACTTCCCAGCCTGCCCGCCTCTGTGCCTCATCCCCCACCTCCCCTCCCCCTCCGCCTCCCCCAGCCTGTTTTTTTTAGGAAGAATTGTATTTGTTGTATTTTCAGAAATATATATGGTTTGGGGAGGAGATTTCCGCTGCTCTACTCAAGCCGCCATCTTGGCTCCACCTCCCAGCCTGTTTTTTTTAACTGCTTGAATTATGTATCCAAAAAAGGAAAAGGAAAGAAAAAACCTCCCCTTGCTCCCTAAATCACTAGCCTAAAAATATCTGCTGAAAAGGCACTCTCTGGGGGCGCTTGACCCAGCCCTTGTGACCGGCCCTTTGCACAGCCAGCTGGCCCTGGCCGCCAGGGAGGCGGACCTGTCACCCAGGCTGGGGGCCGGGCTCTGAGGCAGGGCCGGTCGCCGGCCTGCGGCTTCTGGACTGCGGACTACAGCAGCCTCCCCGGGGCCAGGCCGGCCCCGCCTCCCACACCTGCCCTGGCGGCCCTCCGGGCTCCTCTCTGAGCCAGGAGAAGGGGCTCCGGATGCCACACTACTACCTCAGCACCCAGCTGGCTGTGCTCGGGGCCTGGGCAGCCCTCGGAAACTCACAAACAAGCGCTGTCCACGCGGGCTCCCAGCCCTGCAGAGGCGCGCGTCCCCGCGGACTCCGGCACCATCCGGCTGCCATTCCTTAGAGCAGAGTAAGGCCAGTGTCTCCTTTGTCTCTTGTCTAGCTCTGACTTTAAAAACACCACACTCCCAAATTGTGGATAGAACCTGAAATCAGAATTGCTTGTTCACAGTAAGTGAGAGCATCTCTTTGTATTTTCTTCAAAAGGAATTTATGCTCCAGAAGAAACTCCAGAAAATAAAGGTATTATTATTAATCTAGCATATTCTCATTGAATTTGACTCTCATGCTTTGTAACGGATTACATAGGATCTGGTACACGGGACAGAAGGGTATCAGCTGAAAAACAAACCTTCCCTTCAAGTGTTTTCACATCGTTTTCCTGTATGGGACTCAGACCTCAAGTTCTGTGTGAACACAGAGATTGCCCAGATGCCATGGGCTAGATAATTTGTGGTGGGAAATGTATCAAGTGGCCTTTCGTTGAGAAAAGCACAGACTGTCTAGCAACACTTGCTTAATTAAATACCAGTGGTTTTCTGCTGATGGGGGTTCTTTCACTTTTGACCTGTTTCTTACACAGCTTTTGTTCGGTTGCTCACTCCCGTACCCCTTCCAGTCACCAGTGACCTACTGATACTCTTACTGTTTGGGACCATGCCCTTTCTGGGTTGTAATAGCCATAGAAAGTACTCGTGGCTCTGATTTCTGCGCTTCCCTTGCTGCCCGGCCTGGAGGAGCCGTCGACGGCACCTCTGCCCTCTCTCCCTGTGTGCTCCCCACCCGCCAGGCACTGTGGCGCACGAGCCCCTCATTCAGGCTCTGCAGACTTCCTTTCACATCACTGGGCTCCTGGTGACACAGATGTTCGTGTCTGTGGGCAAGATCACCCACTGATCATTAGACACAGGTGGATTCATTTGTTTTCCATCACTGATGCAGGTGTTCTGCTATAAGAGAAAACTATCAAGGGAATTCCTGAAAACAGGATTGTAAATTTGGTTTGGCGCACCCATATTCAGGGCCGATCTTCACAGTGGGCCCTGGTCCAGCAGAAGACCAGTGACCCTCTTGTTAGCTGGTTGCCATGTGGTACCAGGCACTAAATATGTAATGGTCACTGTTGTCAAGAACTGGTTCTTAGCCAACTCCTGATTTGTCATTTTGATGCTTTTAATACCATTAAAGAAAATTCCATACATACCTAACTCCAAAAATACCATATCAAAATTCACCCTGTTAAACACAGATCTTTAATTAGCATTTATATTCTCTGACATGGTACATACAAAGTAGTTCATTGAAATTCTGCAGCTTTTATTATCTAGTAAGATTTCAAGTTGAGCAGTCTACTTAGATTTGTATTCCGATGTGAGGTGATACCATGTGTGACAAGGTATCCTGATCTTTCAAGAAAGACCTACTCCTGAAAAACAGATGGCAATGAAATGTATGTAAGCTAAACAAGACATATATGGAAAGTTCAAAATATTTGAAGCACCGGGAAGTTGCAACTTGTAGAATTGTACTCCCCAAATTCAGTAGGATAGTAGAGAAATAGTGCTACTGTGATTTCATTGAAATGTGGTGTTTCAAACATCTTGTGGTCCAAATGTACCCATTTGTCCTGTGGAGTAATTTTGTATTTGCTGTTATGAAATTTAGCAGAGTTGACACTAATTTTGAATTAGTAACCTTTCTTACAAAGTTGCGTTATGGTTTACAAATAATACTGATGCAAAAAGGATATGTTAACTTAAGTAGCACACGTTTTGTTTACATGCTTCCGTTCATTGTGGGGTAACTATGGGGTCGATCCCTTCTCATGAGCATGGGACTTGTGCTTTGGGAACATACTGCAGTCATGCTGTTCTCTTGTACTAAGAATCAGTGAAAGTGTTTTATCTTTTTTAAGTAGTTTGTACTGACTGGATTTTATAACTGTAAGAAAACAGAAACAGAGTGTTGTATTTTGATCTGAAATTTGTCTATGGTAAAGTAATTTTGTTTTATGTATTGGAAATTCATTTAAAACTTGAAATATTTTCTAGAAAGGTACCGAACAAAATGAATTGTCTTCAAGCTGTTTCATTAACTTAATAAAACAATTTGATGGGGAAGGCATTCGGATTCTGATTTTTACAGTGCTTCCTGCTAAATGGGCATCCCCAATACAGCGTGACTTGGTTTATGAATGGAAGGTTGTCTTAGAGTAAAGATGAATTGAAGACCTTGGATGTCAAGGGTGAGGTTGTTGGGGATTCCCCCTGTGACAGGAATTGTCTGTACTGCCTTCCTGCCCCGTGCCCAGACGGTCCGCCTGCAGAGACCAGGCCCACCGTGGCATGTCAGAGGCCGATCTCCACTGAAGGCTCGGGGCGAAGAGCTGGGAGAATCTACCAGTAACATCAAAGTTCCATACGTAAAGTCTGCCGGAACCACTCCCGAAATCACATGAAGAGAGAGTGGAATAGTCGGCTCCAGTTACACAGGATAAGGTGGGTTTGGAAGTCGGTTTTAACATTATCTCACCTTACATAACAAGGTTATCTTGGGGGAGTAGAGGGTGGGAGAGTTGCTAGGGAACACTTTCTTTGAAAAAACAAACAGTTTTGGCCAGAAACAGCACCCGGGCTGGCTGGATGTGAGGTGCGGCTCGGGTTCTGGGGTGACCGCGGGATCCGTGTCCTCGGCTGGATCCATGGAGGTGGGGTTGAGTGGTGTCTTCACTCTGCTTTCCAAGTGAAGGGTGAACACGTCACACGCACTAGGATGCTATAGTACAACAACGATGACACAAAAGTTGCTGAGGAGAAATGGGAACCCCCACTCATGGTGAGAACGTGAAGTGGTGCAGCTGTTGTGGAAAACCATTTGGGGTTCCTCAGAAAGGTAGTTATAGTGTGACTGAGCACCCCAGCATTCCCACTCCCAGGTGTGCACCCAGGAGAACGGAAAACAGACTCAAATGCTTGTACGTGGATGTTCACAGCAGCACAAATATCCACTAATGGAATGGACGCAAAACAGGGTCCATCCACACAGAGTCGTATTCAGCCGTGGAGAGGAAGGAAGCACTGGCCCACGCCACAACACGGACGCACCTCTGCAGCACCTTAACCAAAGGAAAGCCAGTCACACAAGGCCATGTGTTACGTGGTTCCAGTTAGGTGACATGTCCAGAGAAGGTGAATCATGAGAGACAGCAATCTGGTGGTTACCAGGGCCTGGCAGGGAGAGGGGCGGTTGCCTGCTAATGGGCACACGGTTTCATTTCAGGTGATGAGAAAGTTTGGGAGCTAGACAGAAACATTGCACAACATTGTGAATGTACTAAATGCCACAAAATTGTGTATTTTTAAATGGTTTGTGTCATGTGCAATTTACCTCAATAAAAAATGAAGATTAGACTATAGGCAGCAAATGAAGAAAAAGATCAACACTGGGCGCTGTGTGTTCGGGAGGATTGGGGACACAGGGAATCCACTTTCATGTGCCGTAGATGCCTGGACGCGTGGGGCTCTGGCTGGAGAGGCCCTCCCAGAGGGGCCAGGAGGCAGCTCTCAGGGCGGGCGCACCTCGCCAGGGTTGGCAGTGAGGACAGATCTCACCATCAGGAAACTGAGAGGGACCATTTGAACCATTTTTCTAAGTTAGCAGGAGGCAGCCTGCAGGGTTCAGATCTGTCTCCACCACCAGCTTGCTCACCTCCTGTGCCTCAGGCGTCCTGGGACAATGGCAGGGCCTGCGGCCACAGGGTGGTGGCGGCGAACTGACCTGCCACGTGGACAAGACACGGCCCGCATGCTCTAAGCTCTGGCGCTGTTCCTGGGCTCTTGTCTCAGCTCGGTCGGCGCTGCTGCTCAGACAAGGAGCATGCTTTGCACACAGGCCACTGCCCAGCCTGGCCTGCTGCTCCCCAGGCACCGGTGGCCTCATCTCGTGCCCAGAGCGGGCAGGGTGACCAGATCCCTCCCAGGTCACTGCCGCAGTCAGCCACTCCTCGGCTGTGGCAGGAAAAGGCCTCGCACACTCCCCCAGGCTGGAGGCGGGGTGCTCAGGCTTCCCAGCCTGGGAGTCTTACCGTAAGGGTGGGTATATTTTTATCGAGCAGGATACACTTATCAGCGACGGCCAGGAAAGGGAACCTGAGGGCCAGATTCTCCAGCTGCTGGAACTGCTGCCTCCCCAGCGCCGAGGCTGGGCCGGGAGGGAAGGGCAGGGCATCGCCTCCCCGTGGCGTCTCTCCTTTGCCTGCTGAAGCTGCCCAGACGCTTTGGGGGGCCAGCAGCCATCAAACGCCGGCCATCCTGGTGGAGGGCCCTTTGCCGCTGTTATCCTCCTGAGGTTGTCATGACCCTCACTCGACAGATGCAGAGGTCACAAGCCAGTGGGGTCACCAGCCCCCAGTCACATGGCTGCTCAGAGGCAGAGCTGGGTTAGCAGGTCTGTGCGACCCAGGCCTGTGCCCTTCCCCAGCTGTCCTGTCACTCTGACACCACCTCTTCGTCATTAGACACAATGTGGTGGGACTGGCCCTAACACAGTCCCCACTCGGGTGGGTCCCCACAGCACCAGCCCTGGAGACACGGCCAGAAGAGCCATCCGTGCTCGGGGACCTCCCCTCCAGGGACACCCTGAGATGCCTTAATCCCTGCGGTAGATGGAATGATGCCCCCGCCCCTAATATGTCCACATCCTAATCCCCAAACCAGTGAATCTGTGACCATGGCAAAAGGGACTTTGGGGGTGTAATTAAGTTAAGGGTTTTGGGGTGGGGAGATGATCCTGGATTACAGGCGGCCCCATGTCCTCCCAGGATTCTTATACTAGGCAGGCAGGAGGGCCACTGACAGAATGTGACAGCAGAAGCGGGAGTGGTGCAGGCCACAGGCCAAGCAATGCAGGCACATCTAGGAGATGGAAGAGGGGGGCAGTGGATTCTGCCCCGGAGCCTCCCGAAGGAAGACAGCCCTGCAGCACCTTGACTTGAGCCCAGAAAGACCTGTGTTGAGCTTCCAGACTCCAGAAGTGCACCATAAGAAGTGGGGGTTGTTTGAAGCCGCTCCATTTGTGGTCATTTGTGACAGTGGCCCTAGGAAACTCATACAACACTGCCCTCTGAAGTTCAAGTTTGATTAGTCCTGGGGGGTTGGGGGGCGCCAAGAACAGGAGCCAGGGGACCCTAATGAGCAGCCAGAGCCGAGAACCATCCACCTCCCAGACACCTTGGAAATGATACGTGTGCCTGCAGACTCGGCCCGACACCAGTAAGGCTTTCTCCGGCCAGCCCCCTGGCCCTGCCCCTCCCCAGACCTGAGCTGCTCAAGCTCTCCGCCCTACAGCGCAAGCCCCTGGGCCCGCCTGGGCTGCCAGAGGCCCCTCTCACCCGGGCTTCCTTCAGACAGCAACGAGGACAAGGCATCTCTGCAGACAGGCCCTCCTGTCCTCCCCAGTGATCTCTGCCCACCCCTTTCAACTCCCGTGAAAACCCGATCACTTCACTATCTGCTCTCTTAGGCTCTGCAAATCCCGTTACTTCCCAGCCTGAAACCCCTTTGCTGCTGTCCCACTGCCTTGAGAATGAGACCTAACTTGCACACGGTGGCCTCTCAACTGCTGCCAATGTCCCTTACCCAGTGCTCCAGCTTCATTTTGTGCCACCTGACACCTCACCCCTCAGCCACAGGGGCCCTCTGTGACCACAGGGCATTGGCACATGCTGCCCTCTCCACATGCTGCTCATCCTCCAGGGAGCAGCACCAATGTCCCCCTTCGGGGGACTCCCCTGCTTCCCTCCCGACTCTGTACCGGAAGGGCTGGAGAGGCAGAAAAAGCCTAAGCGGTTCCCCAGTGAAGCAGAGATGTAGAGAATGAACTACTGATTCTTGACAAATAAAACACAGTACATGTAACCAAACATGGGCCCCTCTCTGTTCCTTCATTCTTCCGCTTCCTGAAGAGCCGCAGATCAGAACAGTTTCACTTTCCTTCTTAGCTCTACTTCAGAACGAGACGAAGAGCCCCAAATGGCAAGGGACACTCTGTGTCAGGGTTAGAAATCAACAGGGAAAGGTGAGAAACCAGGAGGGACTCCCCCCTAGAGGAGGCGGCCACCCCTCTGCTGCCATGTGGAAATGTGGCCCAGACCCGATGTTTCAAAAGAAGCTGGAAAATCACTTTTACATGAAATGTCCAGGTTCTGCATTTAAAGGAAGGTTCCCAGTTCTCATAAAATGCCTAGTGAGTGCTGAGTAAATATTTGTTGAAAGAATGTATAAATGAATGTTTAAGCCAACAAACATTTGCAGTGCCAGCCCCTTGTCACGAGACACCAAGCTGGAGATGAGAGTGAGACCATCCCTCCGCACAGGGCCTGGACCTGTGACTCATCTTCTGTCGTGCTTTTTAATAGCTCACGTAGGGAGGTCCCCTGGACCCCTGGCTCACACTGCATGCTAGCGTGTGGACAGAGTGGAAGCGGTGTGGCTTCTCACCGGCAAATTAGGTCGTGGGTTCCGGAGCACTTTCCCCTCCATGTCACAGTTGTCTTTAAATGGGACCCAGGCTGACACCTGCCTGGAAGGCTGCTGGGGCCTCAGCTGAGGTATGCCTGGTGCTCCACGCCTGGCCCTGTGGGACCTCGGGAAATGTCAGTCCCTTGAGGACTTCAGAGGAAATGTTTGCGTTTTAGAGAGCAGGGGACAGTGGGACTCTGGGGCCAGCTGCCCTTTCTGCTCCTGGCTGCCCCTAATCCTGTCGGGGCCTTGGCCCTGCAGGCCTGCTCCGTTCCCCCACCCGGTCACAGCAACCCACGTGACAGCTGTATGGGAGCCGCCACTTGATGCAGCCCTGCTGTCTTTCCGTCATTTGAATCCTCACAAAACCTGTGAGGTATTTGCAGATGAGAAAACGAGGACAGAGGGAAAAGTCCTTTGGGAGGGCGTAAGCGGCCTCCCCCGTGGGACAGGGGTGTGGGTGACTCAGAAGGGCTGGCAGGATGGGAGCCACGGGCCGGAGCCTGGAGCCCCTGCCTGCCCCCACATCCCCGCCGGACCGGAACTTCTCCCCGCAGCGCACCCCAGGAAAGGCAGCAGCCTGCAGCATGTGACTTAGAAATAAACGGGTGGGTCCCTTCTGGGGACTTCTCAGGAACTCGGCCCAGGCCTGGGTGGGACTTCCACAGCCCTTGGCAGAGGCCGGGCCGGGATGACCTCATGTTTGGATTAGGGATGTCCAGGATGGGACAAAGCTTGTCTTTATTTCGGGCCGATGACCTCGGTCCCAGTGGGTGAGTCCCTCCTAACTGACGGGAGAGGAGACCAAGCTCACTATGCTCCCGATGCCGAATAGAGTGGCAGGCCCAAAGGGTGTCCGAGCAGCCTCCGGCCTTTCCTGACACCTGCCGGGTGCCACCCGCCATCCTCAGCGCCCAGGATACCAAGCCGGCTGTGGAGACTCTGACCTGGAGCACCTCCCCTTTGCTTGAGCGTCGGAGTCACCTGGGCAGCGCCCACCAACACCTGCACCTGGGCTCTGCCTGAGACCCATTAAATTAGAACCTCTCCAGTGGAGCCCACGTGTTGGCATTTTTCTGAAGCTTCCAAGTTGACTTGCAACCAGGGCTGGGAGCTACTCCATCAGTAAATAAAAGCCTACATTTTTTTAGCCTTTATCTTGTACCAGGCTCTAAAAATTTTATATATGTAAATAATACTTAATTCACTGTCCACAGGACTCCTTGGAGGTAGGTACTATTACCATTACCCCTATTTTACAGATGAGGAAACTGAGTCACAGACTAGTGAAGCCATTTTCCTGGTGCTAGAGGGTAGCAGGCCTAGGATTAAATCCCAGAAGGGCTGATCTCTGAGCCCGTGTGCTTAAACACTGCCCATTGCTGCCAGATGGGATAGGGCGGGCCTTGTGCAAACATGGAGGCAAAACAGATCTGGGAATCAAAGAGGGCCACAGGCCAAATACAAGTGGCACATTAATGGGAAAAGCACAGATTTTTTAGAGTGGAAAAGATCTGAGTTCAAATCCTGGGTTTATCACTCCCCAGTGCATGACCCTGGACAAAGAAGTTATTTAACATTTCTGTGCCTCAGTCTCCCCATGGGTGAATAGTGAGTGCCCACCTTATACAAAGCTGGTGAGATAGCAAATGGGAAACACCCAGCACAGGGCCTGGCGATGGGGTCCAGGTGTTCAGTGAGGGCTAATTCTGCATCTGTCTTTCCTCCCCCACCTTCCCCACCTCCCAGTTCCCCCCCTCCCCAGCTACCCAAGACTGTCTCAGTGTGGACCCAGAGAGCAAACCTGAAGGGGCTCCTGCAGACCTGCTGTGATCTCCACAAAATGCTGAGAGCCTGGGACTCACCCTAAGGAGCTGAGATGGATTTGTTTTGAAAGGATCTTGGAAAAGAAGACGATTCTTCCCCAGCCAAGAAACAACCTTTCTTTAATCAACATTCCTGATCACAGAGACGGATTTGCCCAAAGGCCTCTTGGCTTTCACGCAGTCCTGTTATTCTCAGGAGTGATGGGCCTCCTGGGTGCTGGGGATGCCCGCAGCACTGAAGGCCTGCAGGAACTCAGGGTGCCTGTGTATTAGCCCCCATGCTTTTTGCATCAATTGCTTCTCAAATAAGGAGCTACCAGACAGAGCAGCTCCAGGGCATGGCAGAAGGTAAGCAGCCATCTGCAGGATGCGGGCCTAGTGAGAATTTTCCCACCGCCTCTGGGTGGGGAGCAAGGGGCCTGTGTGCTAGGCGGGGCCTGTGCTCTGGCTCCGCTGGGGTGGCCAGCAAGGCAAAGGAGAGAGAGTGCGGGCCTCGGAGTCCAGCCCGGGGTTTGACAAGGGTCTGCACCTACAGAGCTGTGTGGCTTTGCACATGGGACTTCATCTTTGAGGACCTCAGTTTTCTCACCTGAGAAACAGGCTTGATCACAGAAGTGCGGATTAAATGAGGTGACGAAGGCTGGGGCACATCAGGGCTGTTCAATTAGTGATAGCCTTTAGTTTAGCAGTAGTAGCTGTGTCAGTTCAAACAGCCTCCGATCAAATATCCAACAGACTAGGGGAAGTAGTTCTAGTCATTAAGGTAATGTTAATACCGTGATTATCATGGGCTACTGTGAATCCAATATCTGATAAATAATATCTGATATCCAAAAAATAATATCCAATATCCAACAAATAGCAAATAAAATATGCATAGGTAGTAGTAGTAGTTATATCCTTTCAAATAAATATCCTGTGAATCAGTAGCAGGGCTAGTAACACTCATGAGAATGACTTAAATACTATTATTGTGCGTAACTGAATCCAACATCCAATAAATAATACCCAATATCCAATAACATAAGTAGTAGAAACAGTGAAAGTAATTTAGATAATTTTAATACTGGGATTGCCAGAAGCTACTGTGAATTCTAAGGGGAGCCATAAAACGGGGCCAGCGGGCTGGGCGGCGGTGGTGCGGGCTGGGCAGACCCCTTCTGACGGAGAACAAAAACTGGCATGAAAAACGCAGGCCCATCCGCCCTGAGGCTTCCTTCTCACGGGCAGGAGACTGGCCGTGTCCCCTCCTCCCCGCGCGGTCCCCCGCTCCCCGCTACGAACGTCCAACACCCAGTTCCCGGCCGGACGCAGAAAGGGCCAGCAGAGGGCACCCCAAACCCACAGGGCCGAGGGCTCTGACGCGCGCGGGGGCCGGACCCGGGGGAGAGGCGAGGCGGCGCCCCTTGCATTCTGTCCCCTCCCGACCAGGTCCGCCGGGCTCTGGGCAGCGCTGAGGGACCCCGCTGGTGACGGCTGGGAGGGGCTGAGGGCCTCCCGTCGGCGGCCCTGCTCAGGGCGCTCTGGCCGTGCAGCTGCGGGGGGAGGTGGGTCTGGTCCCTCCCCTGCGTGGGGCAGCCGCGTCCACGGGACGGCGGGCTCCTGGCTGCGCGCCGAGAGCACACTCTGGCCCGTTTTCCAGCGGGGCAGCTCCGCAGGGCCCCTACTCTCCGTTTGCAGCAGGGCCACGTCTGCATTCAGGGTCCCAGGAGGACAGAAGTGACCCGGCTCCCCGCCCCTGGGTGCGCCCAGGCAGACCCCCGGGGTCCATGCACACCGCGCTTTCTTCCTCAACCCAGCCAACCACGGGACCTGCCCACGCTGCCCTGGAAAGAGCTCTCGAATCTCCTGAGAGGCAGGTGGGTGGTGGTCGAGGCTGGGGGTCCCACCGATGCAAAGATGGGCAGGGGCGTAAGTCCTCGGTGTCCCCTTGTTTCCTTTTCTGTAAAAATGGCGCTGATAATCCCAGTGAACCTGTGATAAAGGACTTCTGGGATGGCCATGGGAGCAGGCCCCGCACAGGGCACAGGGCACAGAAGATTGCTCGGGCCTTTTTCTCAATGCCTGTCTGCTGACCCAGGCCGCTGTCATCCGTCCACCCACCTCCCAGACAGCTCAGGCTACCTTCGTCTCCCTTCTACATGGCCCCTGCTGTCACCTCCTGCCGCCTAGATGGTCTGGGCCATGGTCCTCTCCTTCCACAGGACTCCCACAGCCTCCTACCTGGCCTCCCCACCTCGTGGCCTCGGCCGTCCATCATCCGCCCTGTAGCCAGGCTGACTTTTCTAAAATGCGAATCTGATCATGTCCCTGCCTGTTCAACCTCAGCCAACAGCTCCCCATTAAATCTGGGACTTAGTTCCAGCTCCTTATGATTTACGAGGCCTTCGGTCCCCTGGCCTGTGCCCTACCCTCTCGTCTCTTCCCTGTGTGTGACCGCCAGAGCCCAACCACTGGCGGCAGGTTGGAAATTCGACACGCCTCTTGGTAGTTTTTAAATGTTTGCACCTTGATAAAACAGGAAACTATATTTTTTATTAACATAAAGGACACCTCTCTCTCTGTTGGTACATACAAGGGCTTTAGAACATACACTCTATCCAAGGGACCTGCTGTTGACCTGAAAGTGTCTTTCCGTTGACATTCTCTGCCCTGATCCGTGGGCGGTGGTAACCGTTCACACTCCTTAAAGACTGACCGTATCTTAGGGGGATTCAGTTCCCAAGTCTTGTTCACCGTGGGGGCAGCCATGTCTGCTGTCAGAGCTGCTGTCCTCCCCTGGGACACACAGATGGCATCCCTGAAGGGTCAGCACCAGCAAGAGGTGTTTTTAATTCCCACCTGAGGGCATTGTTTTAGAGGGGGTGCTGGGACACTCTGCTGCCCCCTCCTGCTTCACCCCCAAGGTTTGCATGCTCCCTGGTGGGCACCCCAGGCTGACTGGCCCCTCCACTCAGCCCTGGCCCACCAGCAGCATGAGGCCATTTCCGGGGCTCCTGACTCAGGGGCTCAAAACATTCAGACCCGACGCTTTTTTTTTTTCCTGAAACTGTTATTTCACTATGTGCCTTCCTATCCTGAAGATGAATTCATAGACCTGTAAGTCACCTGTACTGGTGATTTCCAAGCCTCAGTCTGGTGTCCTATTTATAATACAAAGGGGGAAGATTAAAAGGAAAGTAACCTGCCATAAAATCCTATATGGGGATGCTGGACCCCCTCAGAGAAGTAAGGGAGCCAGAGCTTAGCCCATCCTAGGACCCCCAGGAAGGCAATGGCTCTAAGTGCAGAGGGTCGCAGGTGCATCCTCTGGGTGAGGCCACTGGGGACGTGACTTTCTGAAATGGTGACCAGCTCTTGGTTAACGTCCAAAAAAAACAAAGAACAACCTTCCCGCAACAGACACAGTGGTTGCACTCCTGGAAAATTCAGAGACTGTTAAAACTGGGCAGGAAAAGAACATTTGCCTTTATATCTATCTAAAATGAAGTTGGATTCTAGATGCAGGTAATTTCAAGCAGGGTTTTCACCTACATGAGTGCCAGGTGAGACGCTGGACTGTCATGTGGGACACAGGCCTGTTCTTTGTTGTAGGGGACGTCCAGCTTCATGCCACTGCTACCACTAAATTCCAGTGGCTCCCACATAGGTGTATGGGACAGATTTTCCACCCTGGTAACGGCAGTCCTGCCGCAGGAGAACAGGGGCTGGGGGGTCCTTTGCTCGGCGCTCCTTCCTGTCCTCGCCAAAGGAGCCTCTCTCTATGGATCTTTGCGAATCCGTTCCTCCAGGAAGCCCACCTTGCCCTGCCAAGCTGGGTAAATGCCCTTGTCTGCCTACAGCCCACCCTGAGCACCTCACTGACTTAGCTGTCTATCCCCAGGAAGCCAGACGCCTTTGCTGGCCCTTCACCCTCTGACCCTAGGTCAACCTCAGTGCCTGGCATACAGTAGGCACTTGATAAATGTTTGTCAAAGACACAGTCACTTGGTCCTCACAAAAGCTTAGGAGGTGTTCTTATTCCCATGTTTCAGACGAGGAAACTGAGGCTCAGAGATGCCCAAGGTCACACAGGGAACTAGGCTATGAATCTGGAACTTCAAGTCTCCAGAGAGGTGTCTTCTACTCATTCTCCCTTACTGCCCTGCTCAGCATCCCAAGAGGTGTCCCTCAAAGATGACAGCCAGGTCCCCACCAGCCTCCCTGACGGCCCTGCCCTTCCTGGACGTAAAGCCCTGGGCTCCAGCCCTCCCCACCCCACACGACGCTTCCTGCTCCCGAGCAGGGTCGCGCTCCTGGCTCGCTCTCCAGCTCGACTGGCTTCCAGCCAGAGCAGATGTGGAGTCGCCCTGAATTGGCCGCCATGAATGAGGAGCAGGGACGGCCATTGCCAGAGTCACAGCATCACAGAGCAAACGACAGAGGCATCTACCTCGGTAGGTCACTCCATACCTCTGGTGACATGAAGATTCAGCCTGTAAACTGAGTGTTTGGGAGCATATGATGATTATCGAGGTCTCTTGCGCCTTTTGTGTTTTAGGATTCACCCAACAAATATTTTTTGAGCACCTACTATGTGCCTCAAGACTGAGATGCATTCCAAAACAAAGTTAAGAACCTGTCCTACCTACCACCCCCATTCCCTTCCTCCATCCCCACTTCATTTTTCTCCTTAGCTCCTGATACACTATTGATGATCTCCTGTGTTTGTCTCTTCACAGTGAGCCTCTGTACGGCCCTCTTCACAGCAACTAGCACAGGGCTTGGCACGTGCTAGGCCCTCAGTAAATACACAGTGAATGAATGAACTGGTTTCACGGCATTCAGAGTCCTTATCAATTCCCAACAAGATCACTAGAACAACAACCATGGACACAGTCTTGGGAGTGGGTGTAATCCACAGGACAGTCCTCTTCCCTGTCGTGAGCCTCCCAACCCCAGAGGCTGTAGGCAGGCCGGGTTATTGCCGCCTTCCACAGGAGGAAGGCCGCTCCCAGACCAAAAGGGACAAGCCCTGGCTCCCTGGGTCTTCAGGAGGACGTGCACGATCCTAGCTGCCACCTGCCCAGGTTGTTTCCACTCATTTGCTATTTCCATCAGTGCCACAAAGACCATCTTGGCAAGTGATGTCTTTGTCCACATGCACAAGCCTATCTGTGTAGAAAATTCCTTCCTTGCCTTGTAGAAGGCAATGGAAAGGGATTAACCACTATCCATAATTTCTTGTCATCTTCCCTTACTCCCACCGCACCCACCACTCTTCATCTGCCTTTCCGGCCTGGTCTTGAATCAGAAGCATTTTGCAAAGTTCAGGCACAAGACACACTTCATTTTTATTCTGTTGCATAAGATACTATTTACATTGTAAGAATTTTCCATGTTGCTACACAGTCATCAAAATTACGTTTTTGTGGCTGTGTGACAATGTCCCTGGGCAGATAGGTCATGATGTTTGAAGTCATTACCCTATGCACACTCTTCAGGTTTATTTTCTCTCCCAGATAATTCTGCAGAGAACATTTCCCAATAGCTTTTAAATAAATTTAAAAAAAGGATAATTTCTTTAGAATAGATTTCCAAGCATGGTATTAGTCAAAGGCTATGAACAATTTCATGGTGTTCACTTCAAGTTGCCAAATTGCTTTTGCAAGGAGATGGGTGGCTTGGCACTGACACAGGTGGTATCTGGGCCTGCCTACCTTACCCGCCGTGGCCCAGCATTGAGTCACAACTAGCCTTACCAAGAACACACATGGGGCCTTCCTCAGAGGGGCTTCAGTCTGGGTGCCTTGACTTCTCTATCCCCCCTGCCCGTGCCTTTGTGGATGCTGATGGGTGCAGCCCTGAACCCTGGCTCACCGATCACTTCATCTCTCAGATCTTGTTTTCTTATCTGAAAAATGTAGGGTAACGAACTGTCCCTTTTTTCACGGGATGTGGGACTCTCAGTGCTAAAGTCAGGCATGTCCGGGGCAGACCAGGACTCATTGGTCAGCCTGGTAGGAGTAGGATAATGGCAGGCCCCACCAAGACTTGTTGTGAGTAGAAAATGAGCTGACCCAATGAAAGGGCAGCTCCCTGGACTCCGGGCCGCTCCTGATTCACTGCTAGAGGCAGGTGGGAGGGCCGGCTGCTTGTCAAGCACCAAGGACCCTACCACCCCCACCTCAGACACACCAAGCATCCTCCACCACACAGCTCCCCGGGGCCCAGAATCAGGCCAGCACACAGTAGGTGCTCACTAAACAGGCATTCAGTGAACTCAGGGATGGTTCAGATCCTGCTTGCACATAGCTCTCTTTCTAGGGGACGCACTGGGTGTTATTCCACATAGAATAAAGTGGTCCTTCAATTATAGTTTCTTTGACAATGTCAGCTGCCCCATCACAGGAGGCGCTCACACAAATCGTCTGTGTTTGAGACAACCACTAGGGAGCCCCTGGCCTCCCCTACATGGCCCTGGTGTCCCCAGTCTACTTCCTACACTCAGGACACCTGCCTCTCTGACTGTCACATGCCCCCTGTCATTTACAGGGCTTCCCTCCCTGGGCTTTCTCAGTGGCCCGGCCCAGGGAACCCCAGGCCCCCTAGGGGCTCCTTGATGTGGGCAGGTGAGGGTGGGGGTTGGGGGCAGGGATTCTCACCACTCCTGAGGTTGAACATATTCCATACACTTGTTTACTCTTTGTCTTTCCCCCCTGGGCCTTTAGGGGGTTATGGGCTCTGGGATTTTGCGTGACTTTTTTGCTGAAAACTGGGTTCATGTTGTCTTACTGGCAGCTTCTCTCTTGGCATATTTTTGTTCTTTTCTTTCATATTACCATGCTGTGAAAGATGGATCTGAGTTTTTCTGTCTCTTTACGAAAAAAAAGTGAGAGAAAATTGCTATGTTGTGTTGTTCTTTTTGAAGTCTGTGTGTGTGCGTGTGTGTGAGCAGATGCCCACAAATATGGGGAAGATACTTCTTAATGAAACTCACCTAGTGTATGGAGAAATGCTTCTAACCTCTGGGGGGGAAGCGGGGTGACGTATGTGCAGAGAGGGTAGTGAATTAGACTCTTGGGTGCAGTTTGCGTGGGGCCCACCCTGCCCTCACCTACTGGGCAGTCAATATTTGTGGATTACATGACTTTTGCCTTATTACTTTTAATCTTTGTCAAGAAGCATAACATTCTAGATTCAGCTGAAGTCACCAACTTCAGGGGACTCTTTGTATCCAGGTTGTCTCTTCTCTCCCCCGGAATCTATCACCACCCTCGGTTACTTCTCTTCCACGCGTGTTTTCATACTAATACCATTCATTTAGGTTTGCAAAAAATGAGATATAGCAGAAGGTTTATGCTTTTCAAACTTTATGGCCAAGGCTTTGCCCTGCCGTGTCACTCTGCACCTTGCTTCCGTCGGTGGCTTTCTCTCCTGGAAAGTGTCCCGTTGGATGGATGGACCACAGTGAGCGCGCCATTCCTTGGCTGATGGCTGTATCGGTTTCTAGGGCCACTGTAATAAAATACCACAAACAGAAATGTATCCTCTCACAGTTCTGGAGGCTGAAAGTGTGAAATCGAAGTGTTGGCAGGGTCGGTTCCCTCTGAGGCCCGGGAGGGAAAGTGTGTTCAGTGGTCTCTCCCAGCTCCTGTAGGCCTCGGGCCGTCTGAGCTGGTGAATGACCTTCTCCAGGAGCCCGCCCACCATCTTATCTCTATGTGTTTCTGTCTCCATTTCCAAATTTTCCTGTTTTCGGATATTGGTTGTAGTGGATCAGGACCCACTCATAAGACCTCATTTTAACATAATTACCTTGTTAATGAACTATTACAGACACAGTCACATTTTGAGGTCCTGGGAGTTAGAGCTTCAATTTATGACTTTGTGGGGAGGGACACAGTTCACCCCTAACACCAAGAGAGGCCATTGTTTTCCACCCTGGCTGCACCAACGCACATTAGCCAGCAGGGCATAGGCCCGCCTGCTTCTCCACCATCCTCAGGCTACTGGGCACTGTCAGACTTTGCTATTTTCTGCCAATCCAATGAAGTGTAATGGCATGTCGCTGTTATTTAATGTGCATACCCCTCCCCAACATGGCACTGAGATTGAGCACATTTTCCCATGTTATTGCCTGTGCTTTGGCGAATTCCCTATTCATACCTCTGCCCATTTTCCAGTTGAAATTAAGAGTATCTATCATCAATTTGATACATAGGAATTCTTTATAAATCCTGGATCCCGTCCTGCATTACAAGACTTTTCTGCTGGCCTACAGCTTCTCCTCACACTTGTTTATAGCATCCTTTGATGTACAGAGGCTTTTCTTTTTAATGTAGTCAAGTGTGCATCCTGCCCCAAGGTTTATCTTGTTTAAGAAATCCTTCCTTACATCAAGGTCATGGAAATACTGTCTTATATTTTCTACTGAATAATTTCAAGTTTAGTTCTCATGAGTTGGCCTTAGCCCGCCTGGAACTGATTTGTGGGTGAGATGTATGAAAAGAATCTAATTTTGTTTTCCCAGGTGGAGGGCCAATGGCTGTGCCAAACACATTTCATGCTCTGGTTTCTGGGTGCGTTGAGGCCTCGACACACTGTACCCCAACATCAACGCCGCTGCATCCCTGGGCATTTCGCCCTGAAGGCTGAGTGTTCAACCCTGTGACGTGGTGCCTGCTCTGAGGACGAGCCCGGAGGACATGCCGCTGGGACCGCAGCCTTTCGGAAGGGGCTTCAGCTATGGGGATGGTATTAGTGTCCTGGGGCTGCCGTAACAAACCACCCCAAATTTGGAACCTGAAAACAACAGGAATGTCCTCTCTCACTGTTCAGGAGGCCAGAATTCAGAAACCAAGGTTTCATCAGGGCTGGTTCCTCCTAAAGGCCCAGAGGGAGAATCTATTCCCTGCCTCTCCCAGCTTCTGGGGTTCCCAGCAATTCTCAACCTTCCGTGGCTTCTAGATGCACCACTCGGATCTCTGCCTGCATCTTTCTGCCCCATGTTTCTGCTTCTCTTCTCTCCTAAGGACTGTGTGTATTTCAGGCCCACTCTAATCCAGCACCATCTCATCTTGGGATCCTGAACAGAATGCAATTTACCTTTTTCCACATAAGGTCACATGCACAGGTTTTGGGGGGACAAAGCTTTCCCCGGGCCCCCTTACTGGGTGAATGGCATTCAGTCCACCATTCTCTGTCTTTCCCCCCAACCCCACAACTCCCAGATCCTGGGATGAGTTATCCCACTCCTGGAACTGTATCTTCAGGAACCGATTCAATAGCATGAAAAAAACCATTCTCTCTTTGTTGTTCTTTGTTAATAACATTGGAAAGTTGGAAACAGCCCCCAGGAGAGGCAGTAATTACTTAATGACTTCAATAACATTCATGCAAACTTACTGCAGACTCAGTGGGCCCGGAGGGAGCAGGCAAGCAGGGAGCCCAGCTGCCGCCTCCAGCGTGGGGCTGCTGGCGCAGTGACCTGAGGATCGCAGCTCGCCGCCCAGGAGTGGGCATGGAGGGAAGCCTCGCCTCAGTGAGTGTGTGCCTCTGAAAAGGAGTCACGACAGCTACTCCGGCCTGTGAACCAGGCAGAGACAGTCCAGCTATGGGAGGGGGCGGCCTGCACGAATGCAGCAGGGCCACCTCGCTGGGACCCACAATGGGCCCAGATGACAAACACAGCGACCCAAAAGGGCATGGGACTAGGTAGGAAATATAGTATAAAAATTGATTCAGAAGGGGGCCTTGTAAAGGAGAATTGGCATATGATCCAGCAATCCTACTTCTGGGCATATACCCATACACCCCAGAAAAAACAGGGACTCAAAGAGATGTGTGCACATCCATGCTCACAGCAGCATGAGTCATAATAGTCAAAAGGCAGAAACAACCAAAATGTCCATCAGCGGATAAATGGATAAGCCAAAACATGGCATATGTGTGCAATGGAATATTACTCAGCCTTAAAAAAGGAAGGACATTCTGACACATGTTAAAACATCCTGCTAAATGAAATAAGCTCGTCACAAATGGGCAGATCCTGTGAGTCCACTTACTTGAGCTCCCTAGAGCATGGGGTTCCTAGAGACTGAAGGTAGTGGTGGTCACCAAGGGCTGGGGGAGGGGAAATGGGGGTTTGCATTTAACGGGGGCACAGTTTCCATTTGGGAAGGTGAAGAAGTTCTGGACATGGATGGTGGTGATGGTTGTACAACAATGTGAATGGACTCGATGCCATAGAACTGTACACTTTAAAATGGTTACAATGGCACATTTTATGTTATGTGTTTTAAACCATGATTTTGTTTTAAAAAAAGGTACCTAGTAAAGAATTGTAGCTGATTGGTAGAGGGGAGTGCAAATCCCAGCCACACCTCTCTGTGAGTTCCTTGGTCCATTCTGGAACTCTGTTTCCCTGGTCCAGGCACCCAGGGTGGTGAGCGAGGCAGGCAAGGTTGGTGTCCTCCTAGACGGCAGGCAAGAGCGGCAGGCAGGCCTTAGCCGTCAGCAAATACCTATCAGGTATTAGCTCTGGGACTTTGGACAAGCCACTTCTCCTTTCCAAGTGTGTTTCCTTCTCTGTAAGGATGAGAACAATGATCTGACCTAGTAATGATGCCAGAGGGTCAGTGCGTCCTCTGAGTCCCTGAGGCATGAGTACTCAGCTTCAAAGGCACTGCACATGGGTCACTTCCACAGTTCCAAGTCAGAAACATGCGTCCAAGCTCACGCCAACATGATTCGGGTTGCACAGGGATGGAGTTGGGCTGTACTATATATATATATATATATATATAATATTTCTTTGTCATGCAAAATCTTTTTATATGCATAGAAGGTCTAGATGATGTTCACCAAGGTGTGAAGAATGGGTGAAGAATGGGTGATGTCAGGTAGGAATATTTTTAAAATCTTTACTAAGAGATTTGCTGGCTGGATGATCTTGGGCAAATAACCTGACATCTCTGAACCTCAGGTCAGTTGCCTTGGCTACAAATTAATAGTACTCACCTATAGAGTGTTGCTGTTTTTTTAATTCTCTATTACAGGAATGTTCAAACCTTCCCAGAAGAAGGAATAATCTCACAAACCTCTATTACCCAGCTTTGCCCATTAACAGTGAATCAGCCATCTTGACCATCTCTACCTCCCCACCCCAACAACTGATGGTTATTATCAAGAAAATCCCAGAGAATCTTCTTTTTAAAAAAACCACCAGAATATCATTATCGCACCCAAACTTTTAAGAACACAATTTCTTAATATCCTCCGATACCTAATCAGTGTTTAACTATCCCCGATTGCCCCATAAGTGCCTTTTCCATTAGCTCTGCTTAAATCAGGGTCTGCAAGAGCCACGCATTACATTTGGCTGCTAGATCCTTTTGCCCAGTGTTTTTTCAGAGTAATTTTCAAACACGTAGAGGAGGTGGAAGAATTTCACAGTGTGTCCCCAGGTTCAACCAGTAACATGATATTGTGGCTTTGTCCCATGTCTGTCCAGCTACCTGTCTTTCTACAATTGATGACACTTTCAAGTCTCTCTCCATCTAAACGCCTTCCCTTCTCTCCTGTTTTCTCCTCGACTTTTATTTGTTGAAGTAATCATGTAATTTGTCCTGTAGAACTTCTCACTGAAGGATTAATGAGCTAATATGTGCATTATAATTAGGATATAGTGGGGAATGAATCAATATTCATTCTTATTTGCTTTTTTAATTTATCTGTATTTTATTTTTCCAAGTGCAAATATATTACTTTTGTGAAAAAGAAAGTTCAATGATGTTTCATGGCCACACAGAGGATGTCTTCTTTGTTTGCTGGGCCTGCCCCATCCATTAGGCCCTCAGGAAAGGCCCACAGCTTCAGGGGGCGTTGAAGGTGCCAGCACACAGGGGCAAGCTGGTGGGAACCAGAACCAGCCGAGGAATAGGGCCAGGCACCGGGATCAGCCCTTCTTCCCCAGGAGGGAGGCCCAGAGGAAGGGCAGGGAAGGTGTGGAAAGCTGCTGAAACCCCCAGAGAGGGTGGAAGCTTCGGCACACATCATTAGGGCTGGAGAGGGAATGCACAGCCGGGCTTGGGGGGCCTGGGGCAGACGGAGCCAGAGGAAGATGGGCCTCCTGGGGTTTGACACCACAAACTCAGACAACAAGCAGACAGACGGCAAATACACAGGGACTGTGTGTGCTCCATCAGCTGCTGGGGAAGAGGCCAGGTGGGTGGGAGGGAGCTCAGGGTGGGGGTCCAGAGCTCTGAGCCCTTCACCTGTGCGGTCTTCGGCAAGGCTCCTTCCCTCCTCTAAACCTCCGTTTTCTCCACTTGCAAAAGAGGAGGGGTGGACCAGAAGATTTCTGGGGGTTCCTTTGAGCTCTGGCAAGACCAGTGTTCCATCTCACTGACTGTTCCCTGAGGCTGAAGGAGGGGGTCGTGGCTGCTGGGATTCAGATGTGTTGGCGACCCCTTTTCCCTTTTCCTTTTAAGGAAACAAACGCCAAGTACATGCTCAAAACTGTGAATCATCAAGTCAAAGTACAAAATAAACACAGAGTCTAGTGTACACTGTCCTGGACTCCAGTCCCCACCCTGCCAATTCTTGGCCTGTGATCTTAGGTGGCTTCCACAATGGATCGCTGATGTCTGTCATGCTGAAGAAATGGGCAAGGCTGGCTTTCCCGCCATGAACCCAGATTCCAGATCCGAAATGCAACAGATCCTCAGGGTAGATTTGGGCAGTTAACCTCTGAGTAAAATCTGCTTAAGATTTCTAGCCAAACAAAATAGAAAAGTGAATAAATATGGAAATCGTTTTGCCTGAATCCCTGGCCCAGGAACCAGCCACCCGTCAACCACCGCCATTGTGCAAGCACCCGGCCATAGGTCACATCAGCCGGCTTTGATTCGAGGAATTGTCGTCCGGCTGAGTGAAATTCATTAGCCCTTTGTGAGCTGTTCAGGTTTAATACCTCTAAAATTGCCTGGTGAAAATGGAGCGTTATGGGGAAGGGCGAACGCCAGGCGGCCGTCTGGACAAAGCCTGCGCAAGTGCTCTGTCCAGGGCTGAGTCACGCCCTGCCCAGGGCATCCGGAGTGGATCCTCTTGAGTCATGGCTGCTCCCTGTGAACGTGCTGCTGTGCGCTTGCAGGCGGCGGGGCGGACTGTGTCCATGCTTGTTCCAGAGAAAACAGTGGGAGAGACGCCCTCCAGGCCTGGGGAGTGAGGGGCACCGTCGGTACTGGCTGGGGCAGATCGGTGCCACAGGCTTTGCACTCTGTTGGGTTGAATTGTGTCCCTCAAAAAGTCCTAGCCCCCAGGACCCCAGACTGTGACCTTACTTGGAAAGAGGGTCATTGCAGATGTAGTAAGTTAAGATGAGGTCACACTGGACGAAGTGTGGCCCCTGATCCAACATGACTGTGTCCTTCTAAAAAGAGGAAGTTTGGACACAGCCATACATACATAGGGAGAACATTGTGAACATAGAGGCAGGGACGGGGCTCCTGCGTCTGTCGACAAGCCAGGGATCGCCAAAGATTGCCAGCAAACCAGAAGTGGGAAGAGAGGTGTACGACAGATCCTTGTCTCAGCTCTCAGAAGGCCCCAACCCTGCTGACACCTTGATCTTGGACCTCCAGCTGTGAGAGAATAAGCTTCTGCTGTCTAGGCCACCCAGTCTGTGGTCTTTTGCTGCAGTGGCCCCAGAGGCTAATTCTGGGTTGACGGGCCAGAGTCCTGCCTTGGAAGTCTCCTTGCTGGGACACTTTGGACGAGCCACTTACTTTCTTTGAGCTTGGGGCCTGGAATCTGAGTGGATCAAATCTAGCCAGGTCTGCTCGATTCCTTACCCAGACATTTGGAGGTGGGAAATGGGAAGACGGTGACGACAGGGCCAAGACGGCTGCTTTGAGCCAGTGTTCCATGAGATACAGAGCAGACTCCAGAGGGAAAACGGCAGAGGGGAGAGAAGGCTTTGTGCACACCCTGCTGTGCTTCCTGTCATGTCCCTCCCGAGGCCTGGGTGATTGGTGTTGGCTGGGTTCCCATGTGTATATTCTTTGCACAAACTCCCTTCCTGGAGGCATCACAGGGACAATATTTTAACTGATCTCTTTGCCTGTCTTTGGAAGCACTTTGAAAACTGTAGAGTGAGGTACACACTTTCTCAGCGACAGCACACCTTGCTGAGCAGCCGCCACGTGCACAGAAGGTACAGGGTAAAAAAGCTGCAGGTCCCGCTCAGGACTGCACTACCCAGGTCAAGGGTAGTGTCACAGGGCCACACAGAGAGGTGGTGACAACACTGTCATGCCTGCTCCCCCAGCCCCAGTTCAAACAGAACAGTGAGGATGGATGGCCAGCACAGTTCCAGCGTTTTCCATGGGTGGGCTGTTAAATGCTTCTGTGAAATGTCGAATATCACGTTCTTCCCCTTACTCATGTTTTTTTCTCATCTTGGAAGACTTGGGCTGACAGAGGAATTGTGAAAAGCAGGATTGGAACTGAAATTGGCAACACGGAGTGGTGGCTAAGAAGGCAGGTCTGGTACCAGACTGGCCCAGTTCAAGCATGATCTTGGGCAAGTTATTTGACCTCTTTGCACCTCAGTTCCCCCATCTGTACAATGGACAAAATAAACCTCACTGCATTTTTGTGAGGATTAATTTCCAGGAGTTAATGTATGCAAAGTGCTTCCACCAGAGGCTGGCCCACTGTAAGCCCTATGTGGATATTTGCTATTATTAATAAAATAAAGAAATGCACAAGGTTGGGGAACATAATAAAAGAAGTGGTTGTTATGTAATAAGACATTTCTTGGGGGAGCCTTTCCAGCTTCCGATGACCCACCTGACCCTTATTCGTACCTTTAGGGAGTGGCTACCAGCCACCTTATTTGCACAGCTTGGCTCAGACCCTGACTGGGATGGGCATCTGGCCCAAGTTGAGCCAACCAAGTCCTGCCCTTGGAACTGGGCCAACTAGATCCTAGTTTGATCTCAGCTGGTTTCTCAAATGGCCAGCTTCTGTCATGCTGAAGCAACACAGCAGAGAAAATGCAGATGGAGGGGGAAGCAGATGCAGAGAGAGAGAGCCCTGGGTCCCTAGTTTCTGGCCCTTCCTGAGACCTGTCTATCTTTATGCCACTGGGGCTTTGTGAGACACCCTTGATTCCTTGGAACCCATTTCCACTCTTTTGAAGTTACTCGGATTGGTTCCTGTTGTGACCAGGGTATCTTGGCACACACCTGGATGCTGTGCCTGCCTCCTCCTCATTTCTCTGCATCTGCATGGCTCTGCTCCCTGGAGCTGCGAGAAAATTTCCACTCCTTTCCCTTCAGTCCAGGCAGGCTGGAATCAGCTCCAGCATTGTGCCATGATCGAAGAAAATGGAGACCAGGAGTTGAGAAACCATTTTTCTTTGCCATTTATTGAGCACTGACTTTTTCCCTGAACCCTGTTCTCAGCACTTGACATGCATTATCTCATTAGCTCAATTGCAAGGACCACGACTGGATCTGTTTCACAGATGAAGAGACTGAGGTTCAGAGAGGTTAAGAGATTTGGGTAGAGTAACTCAGCTACGACTGAGGTTCAGAGAGGTTAAGAGATTTGGGTAGAGTAACTCAGCTACGTAAGGTGGACAGCTGGGATCCAAATCGAAAATTTGTGCTTTAAGCCTCCTTGCCATCCTACCTGGAGCCCCTGGATTGTAAGAAAATAGTAATTTATCCTCCATTTGCCCCATGGTCCCAAGCACATAAGCTAGTGAGAATTACACCTTACTTTCTTTGAGCTTGGGGCCTGGAATCTGAGTGGATCAAATCTAGCCAGGTCTGCTCGATTCCTTACCCAGACATTTGGAGGTGGGAAATGGGAAGACGGTGATGACAGGGCCAAGACGGCTGCTTTGAGCCAGTGTTCCATGAGATACAGAGCAGACTCCAGAGGGAAAACGGCAGAGGGGAGAGAAGGCTTTGTGCACACCCTGCTGTGCTTCCTGTCATGTCCCTCCCGAGGCCTGGGTGATTGGTGTTGGCTGGGTTCCCATGTGTATATTCTTTGCACAAACTCCCTTCCTGGAGGCATCACAGGGACAATATTTTAACTGATCTCTTTGCCTGTCTTTGGAAGCACTTTGAAAACTGTAGAGTGAGGTACACACTTTCTCAGCGACAGCACACCTTGCTGAGCAGCCGCCACGTGCACAGAAGGTACAGGGTAAAAAAGCTGCAGGTCCCGCTCAGGACTGCACTACCCAGGTCAAGGGTAGTGTCACAGGGCCACACAGAGAGGTGGTGACAACACTGTCATGCCTGCTCCCCCAGCCCCAGTTCAAACAGAACAGTGAGGATGGATGGCCAGCACAGTTCCAGCGTTTTCCATGGGTGGGCTGTTAAATGCTTCTGTGAAATGTCGAATATCACGTTCTTCCCCTTACTCATGTTTTTTTCTCATCTTGGAAGACTTGGGCTGACAGAGGAATTGTGAAAAGCAGGATTGGAACTGAAATTGGCAACACGGAGTGGTGGCTAAGAAGGCAGGTCTGGTACCAGACTGGCCCAGTTCAAGCATGATCTTGGGCAAGTTATTTGACCTCTTTGCACCTCAGTTCCCCCATCTGTACAATGGACAAAATAAACCTCACTGCATTTTTGTGAGGATTAATTTCCAGGAGTTAATGTATGCAAAGTGCTTCCACCAGAGGCTGGCCCACTGTAAGCCCTATGTGGATATTTGCTATTA